TCGGTGTTCCTGACCCTTCCCTCAAACTAGGCTGGGCCGAGGCGGGCAACGCGAAGCGTTTACAATTATTCAGGCTTGGGCAGTTTGGCAAGGTTAAACGTCATTGAAATTATTCTGAAAAATAACACTTTCTCTGCAACAGTAAAATAGACAACCACACAACCAAGGTGATAATGCCAACTTGGCAGTGATATGAGGGCGACTGTACTAATCGGGCGTGGTTCCTCTCGTAATGAGGCGTTGATTCAGTTTAGCAGGAATCCGTTGATTACTATTTGTGTGGCCGCATGGCCCTCCAGATTAATATGGGACAACTGTAATGATCTGGAAATGTGCTTCGGGCGCTGCCCGAATGTTTGTAAGTCTATCCGCTCGTGCGCTACCCAGGGATGACCATCCACATTCTGCAACAGTTTCAGTTTACACCAGCGGTTATTGGCAATTTGTGGTTTGGGACATAGAGGAAAGGAAGGAATTTTAACCATAAAAACTATGATTGGGCCCCTTGCTTTTGTGAGAGGGTCAAAGGCTGCCCGGTGTCGAAGTGGACTTCCTTTCTCGATTGCTGCACATCTCTCTTGCAACTTGCATGTCTCTGTCAGGGTTGCCCTTTTGTCACCTTATTTGAAACAAGCTTGGCATAGAACACCTAGACTTTGTTTGATACTACGTCTTAAAAGAGCAACCCTGATCACTTCCCGGCTTTTGATGCGCGAAGTGCGCACTACGCGCGGGGCATCCAGCAAGCGCCTCGAAGCCTTTTGGGGAGGGGCGACCGGCGAATGTGAGATGGCGTCTGCGGATCTGGTCTCTGAATGCAATTCTACAAGGGGTAGATTCCCATTCTGCAGCCTGTATCTATAGCCTGTATCTATTCGATTGTTTTGCTTTAACGAGGTTAGCATCAAAGGAGACTCTAATAGCAGCTGGGATATTCCATGGTCAAAACATGTGTCGTTATTTGACAGAAACCTCCCTACCAGGCGTTGATGACTATCCATACCAACCCCAGGCAAAAAGGTGTTTTGCAATGGCATATATAGGCAACACGCTGCTAGGTATCTCACAAATGGCACTCTTCGCAAGACCCACGTTGACAGCTGTTTGGGCAGAGGCGCCTACAACTCAATCAGACCACGTGAGATACATGCAAAAGCCGTGAGGAAGGCTACCGAGAAAACCCCAACCCATGATTGAGGCCGCCAAAGCACATGAGTTGCTTGGGCTGGGGTAAGCTATTCCACATAAACTCCCCGTACGTTTGCGGGGAATCTCAATGCCAAATGTAAAAACAAGGAAGTCTCGGTAGGCTTGTGAAAGGCTTCTCCAAGGCTGCAGGGACAAAGCCCCTTCTGAAACCACAGGTTCTCTGAAAAAGACAGTCTACATTAAATCCATTTGAGGTAGACGCATCGGTGAAAAGACTCTGAGCGCCAAAGGCTGGTTTTGTCCTTCCGGAAAGGACATTGCCTCCTGGCATCGCTCGAATCGTTTTGGCGCACCCACTGAAGATGCTCCCATCGGCGCGAAGACAAGAAAGCATTGCCATTGCGCATGCGAAGGCTTGGACACACGATGTCCTCTTACTGTTATAGTGTGATGGACAAAATCCACTTCGCACCACTTGGTGGTTTCTCCCGGAAATTGGGTTTCAGCCAGCTGGTGTGCATTGTGGATTCCATTCACAGTATGTCCTTGAACCCGTGCAAAATCACAGGGGGCCTTTTCTTTTGCTTCCGATGCCGTGCCATCATCTCACGGTGCTTAGCGTCCAGGCCTGCAATGCACTTTGAGACTTGCCGTGGGGTTCGAACATAGGCAAGCAACCAAACGCCTCCCAACAAAAACACACAAACTTGGAAAAATAGTAATGTCCAAAGGACCCGAACATGAGCCTCCTGGAAGGAAAGTTTGCAAGGAACCTTCTCAGAAGGTGGTTTTTCAATCTGGTGGGCCCCAATGATTCACCTTGCAACAGAACATCACCCGATGGAACTCAAGCACCAAATTATGGACACATACACACCTTTGCCCCACAAGGGCACATGACTCAAAGGCGAGACATTCCCTTAGTTGTCAAATTTAGCGGCTCAGATTAGCTCCAGACTATCTTCTTGGATTTTGGGCTGATTGCCTTGCCTTCCGCTGTCTTCTGCCTCAGGGTGCTTGTTCTCCCACGCAGGGCAAAATCCCGCCTAGTGCAGCAAACTAGAATCGCCTAAGGTCATATTTTGGGTACAAGCCAGTTGGTGCAAGTTCCTAAACTTTTCAACTAGGTCTCAAAGAAGGCAGACTTCGCCCTCTCCGCAAGCAGCAAAGTCTGAGACTCCAGGCAAAGACGTCAAGTCCCTCTCCAAAACAAACGTGGATTTCCATGGGAGAAGAAAGGGAGACAATTCCCTAAAAGGGGGGCGCACCTGGAGGCCTGGAAATTCTGCAGGTCAAGCAAACCATTGGAAAGCGAGGGCGCCTGACCGACCTGAGCCATTTCTTCGGATGTGGCAACCGACTTGTCCCTTTCGGCCCACCTCAAAGCTGCTGGAAGAACAGCACGTACGCAGCCTGGAACGTACGCAGCAGGTGCTTCAATTCACTCCCCAGACAGTAAGAGGGGCAAACCTTGGTCAACAACGGCGATGGGCAAAATTGCTTTGTCCAACTCAGTGGATCCAGTCACCACCAAAGTAAGCATGCGTTTTACCTTCAGATTTGACATGATGGTTTCCCTTGGCTACCAACTATAGGGCCGACTGGATCCACTGTGCAACTCTGATCAGGCTCGCCGGCACGGGATCGGCAGCTAATTCAAGCGGGAGCCGCCGTCTGAGAACGTCAACTGATCGCCCTCCTCCCGTTGCTCCACGGCAGAGACAGAGCTGGGGCCACGGCCGCGCTGGATGAAACTCTGCTCCGCCTCCCAAATACTGCTATCAGGAAGCCCCAGCAACAAAAGCCGGACAGGGAGGTAGATCTCTGCGCCATGCAAATAGCAATGGGCACGCTGAACTGCTTCGACGCACTACTCCGCGCGTGTCCATGACACCCATGTCGAAGGGGCGCCGGTCATGATACACCTGGAGGAAGTCCTCCCTATTCATCACGCTCCCCCATTCGTCAACCAGGGCATGAAGGATTTGATGCCACCGAGGGCCAGCAGCTCCGGCGGCCATTCCAGGTGCGCCGAGGCTGAAAAGGCCGGTAGACAAATGGAAGCAACAAAGGTCGCAAGTCCCTGGAGCGGAGCCAATGCATCTGCGACCCAGAATTCAGCGAGATCGTGTACCTGGTGGGCTTCATGGCCACGTGGGAGGGAGTAGACCACTAGCCACGCGAAAGGGTACATAGCAGGTGCTTTTTTAAGCACGTTTAACCGCATTGTTGTTGAAACGTCTTCCTTAGCTTTCCGCTAACGGAAGCTCAATCCTGGCCATGTTGCCCAGCCATCGTCCATTGTCTTCCGCTTGTCTCCAAACAACTACACCGGCCCGCGGAAGGACAAGGTGATTTTTATGTGCCGCAGTAGTGATGGTTCCCTCAATAGGAGTCCTTGTCATGGTTGTCAAAACTCCCTGCAAAACAGGGGTCATGACCGACCCTAAATTAAGCAAGCACCCCTATTAACTCTGACCATGGCACATAGGGCCACTTGAAGGCTACATTGCCACCTGGCAAGGCCGCACCACGGCCCCTGCCTCCTTGTCCAAATCCTCCACGCTCGCCTGGCGCTTCTCTCAAAAGCCAACAGCTGCATGAAGAAGCAAACAACAAGCCCCGGACAACATACATTGTTTCCCCCGGACATGCGAAGCTGATTTCGTTGTCGCCCTGGCTTTGTGGAGTTGTCCACGTATGTCCTCCCCAAAACCACAGTAGGCTACCAGTAACATTGTCAGCAACCAAATACTGATTCAGGGCCATAACAAGGGGAGCCATTGCAGAGACGATTCGTGACAACTAGTGACCAATAGTGACCATTAGGGGCCAGTCAAGACTGTTAAACACCATAAACCTCCCATGCCCCCCCCCCCCCGCTATGACTTTGAATCAGCATCGAAGCCCAAATAACTTGAGAATGGAAACGTAGGAATACAAATCATGGGTGTGTCTCAACATGGAAAGCCGGCAAAATTCGTGTTCAACAGGAAAACAAATGCAACTCCACGGATGTGTGTGTGTGTGTGGTTATGATACCTGTGCCAGGTTGTTCACCCATAGTTGCCCCAAACCAGAAGATACAAACACCAGAGCAACCATCGCAAACGTCGACCAGATAAAAGCGTGCCCACACGCTGATGAAGACCTCATCAAGTTCAATCCTCCAATGACCCTGGTACAGGTGTACATTGTTTTGCTCCGTAGTGAAAGAAGGTGAATCCGTTGGTGAACCCATCATTGAGACGAAAGCAACCCAGTTTCTGGGACAAAACAAAGTTTTCAGACTCTGTTTATGTCTATATAAGCGTACCCCAAAAGATATGAAACATTTAAGGAGATCCGCGTTGTGAGTGGAACTCAATATTCGAATGTGGCCATGCAGCACTCTGTCGCTCTCTCTCTCTCTCTCTTGACGGGCCGCGCCTGGCTCACAATGGAGTCGTTGAAGTTGAACCAATCACCCAGTTCCAGAGGGCCGCTTGGTGGCGTCACCAACTGCAGCGCGTGGTAACATCCAGCTTTCAAAGAAAGCATTGTATACACATCGGACAACCAATGTGATGACGACACGATGCACATGACGACAAAAACAACATCGACACGATGACCAAAGCCCTTGCAAAGCGGCAGCAGCAGCAGGAGCAGCAGCGGCAGCAGCAGCAGCAGCACCACCACCACCACCGCTGCCGCCACCACCACTACCACCACGGAAAGGCCGACGACCATGACACAGCTGTCAGATCAAGCAAAATTGGTAACCATTTGGGCAAATTACTTAGGGACCCCTCAAGGACCATTCTCTCAGGTGAGCTTGCTTTGACCCCCAAGGCGAGTTCGCCATAATTTGTGCAGGTAAATCTCCTTCTCTGTCTTTTCGACATTGCAGATCTGTTGCTGCGTTTTTTTGCAGTCCAATTCTAACCGATTGAACCTACTTGCGGGTGATAGGCCCTCCCAACTCCCTCCTCATGCCGTACTAAGCGGATATACGGGATGGACATCCATCACCTTGTGATGTCCTTTTGAGGAAATACACAAAAGAGGGTTGTTTCGCATCAAATCAGCTTTGCAAACCTCAATTGCTCAATTGACCAATATGCCCTCTTGGAAAAGCGACCCACCAGTCTCTATAGGCCAAGCGCCGCATGGGCTGTGTAGTGACCGCCACCGACGTTGCCATGGTGGTTGACCACCCCGAAGAGTTGATATCGAGTTCTTTCTACACCTTTCCTGCAGAGGTAGTCCTGGGCGAGATTTGGTTTTCAGAAGCGCCCAAGAAACCAACATGTGTTCATCATATGCCTTACACAAAAGCTCATGACGCTGCGACTCAAACCAGGCGCCCAGAACTGCCATGTTTCTTTTCCAAACAAGCAATTTCTATGCTATACGGCTTCTCTGTTCTATTGTCCGGACACCTAAATAGACCAACTAGGACTTGATACTACCTCCTCAAGGGTTACCGACCTGGCCAACCAATTTAAACATCCGATTTGAACAGGTACTTTGCGTTATTCCTCGAAAGGATGGCCTTCGGCCTGGCTCGCCAATCCGGAAATTTGTTCGGGCTGGAAGCTGGAGGCTGAAAGCTCAAGAGCTGGAAGGCTGGAAGGCTGACGTGCAGCTTGGTGGGCAGCAAGCACGAAGCAGGTGTTGCCAAGGGCCACGTCTTGTGCTAAAACAAATCGTTCATACTACCTCCAGGGCCCGTGAAGGGTTGGGTGGCCCTGCCAGCCGCTTGAAATCTCCGGTTTGAACAACTGGTTTGACACCACCTCCCAGCCCTGAATCACTGAAGCCCTGGCCCGGCCCCGATATATTTTAACGTCGTCACCGTAGAGTGTTTGACGTTTGGAAGGTACTGCTCTTTCGGATTTGCTTTAAAGGAAAGCCAAAGAGCACACATTGCTGGGGGAACCTAACGTTCAATGGCCAAACAAATCCAAACCTTTCGGTTGCCCCACACTAACATGGTCCCTATCAAGAAAATGGAAAATGTTGTTTGCGGGCCAAAAAGAGTTGGTCGTTCCAGGCCCGACGGAACATAAACAACAAAACCCTGTTCATGGCAATCAAGCACCCCTGGGTTTAACTCGGCTCAACCCCCGCGTACGCGTGTAGCGTACGCGTGTAATATTGTTCAGCCTCATATCTCAGTCAATAAATCCAACACCTGAAACTTGAGAAATGCAAGAACGGCCGACATCACGGTGAGCTCGTTTTATTTCCAGGTGAGCTCGTCATCAAATTTGCGATCCTTGAGGTCCAGCTCCAAGGAGAAGTCAACGGGACACCCAATCTTCACCAGGGGCCCGTCGAGCCTGTAAGCACGTTCGGAGGCCCGTGCGCTGCCAAATCCCCCATACTCCAACGACTCACTTGTTTCAGGTGGCACCCCGTGTTTCGCAGGTTTGGAACAAGCCCCTTGCTTGTTCGGCAGGGTTGGTGGGCGATGGATGGGGGGGATGTAACGTGCGCTTCATGCTCGTTCTTTTGCTTGGGTCCCGGTATCTCTTGTAATTAGGATTTGCCTTTGAAGTACAGTTGCACGCGATTCACCGCCAAAGTACTTGCGGAAGTAGAGCTGTGCGTGAAAACTATTCAATTCCATGTGACGAAGGTATTGTGTGATTTGATGGTGGCCTTCTCCATGTTTGACTCTGCGAATTTCGTATAAGAAGTTACAAGCAAGAAACGGACAAGCACACTTCCTGGGCAAAACCTCCTGGAAGTGTCACCTGAGAGCAATTGAGACTGGCATGCTCAGGTTGATTTACCAAAGCTGTTTTTTGGAGCAATCAAAGCAAACTATGGCGTGTATCATTTTGTTTATGTCCAACCAACAAAATGAAGGCAAAGAGAAAGTCTTCGTTATGTTGTTTAATATTCATCGCTATGTTGGGTCCCGCGCTAAGACACTGAACACCGTGCTTTTTCTTGACATTTGTCTGCAATGTTACGTAGGCAGGTTTAGCAGGCGTAGATGTATAAGACAAAAGCATGGGAAGGTTCTGCAGGGGGAGGGGGCTGTTCTGCGGTGGGGGGGTTGCAAGGCAAGCTAACTATCGAACAAGTCAATTTCTCTGGACCACGTGCTAGTCATCATGCCAACATGCGCTCCGGAGTGTGCGTGCAACTCAAGCGTGTAGCAGCCAGATTCTTGAACAATCATCGCCTTGCAACACCTCACCGTGCTTCTCAAGGCTGTGAACACACGTTTACGTTTTGCATGCAGTCCACACATGCCATTTTGCCTAGACGGAACTCACAAAACGTGTAAACCGTTGCGCGGTTTCTTGCAATCTCCCTCTGAAGACGCCCATTCCCCCACCAAAAACAACAAGTCCACTGCAGGTTGTCTAGCAGCGTCACAAACGCAGGCCTCCAGGCGCTGCCAGGCTTCAGGGGGGATGATGTTAAAGCCTGACTAAACAAGGTGGCATTCACAGCGGGAAACCAGCTTTTGCAAAATATCCTGTAAACAAACCGGCATTTGGAGTACGGGTACTCCGACACCTTTTGGGGGTTGGTTGACTCAACCTCTGGTGCTTGTGGGAAATTTGAGTGGCCCCGCCATATCCTCCCCAAACCTACTTTAGACTTGGAGTCAGTCATATATACTCAGTTCACGTGAGAAACCGTGACCAAACAAGATGGTGACCCTGAACAACAAAAGAAGAGATTCATGAAGCACGCCAGGATGAGTAAAACTGATTGCTCTCTCGAATTGCCAAGGAAAGCACACACCTTCTCATGAAGTGCTTTGCTCCCGCCAAAAGAGCGACTCGCGTGCTCGCCGCGATTTGATTGCGCGCCTCTCACGGCCGAATCGCTTCAAGTGCACCACAAGCACAGGAGGCAGCGACCATAGATCCAGCTTCCTCGGCTGAAACCAGAAACCCTCCAAAAGCTAGCTAAGCCAATAATCCTTCCAGCTGACTGAGCCTTAAAGGTCAGCTTGCTTTTCTACAGCCACTTGTAACGCATTTCCTTTTAAAGGGAACCCCCTCCGCCCGCAAACAGGAGGCACCACTGGAGACGAGGATTTCAAGCGGTACCCTCGTTCCAATAAAGTGGAGGATAAAAGGGTTCTACAGCACCATCCTCAAAAGTCTTTAAACTGTTGACCCCTGATCAATAACTGGGGTCATAATTGTTTGCTGGTGCTGGGAGGACTTAAGTTCCTGATTATCATTAGGTCATTAGGGGCAGTACAACTTCCCAAAAAACACCATTGACTCCTTGGGAAGTGCAAAAACTAATAAATTCATGTTTCATGCCTATGATATTGACACAAATTATTCGAAGCTGACAGTGTTTGATGAATTTATCAGTGCTGTTGTATAAATAATAGTCATGGTCTGTGAATGTAGGTATCGGTTGTTCAAGCTGTCAAATGAAAAAAATGCTGCTATTAAAATATAGTTAATGTAATGATACAGCAATAACAGTAAATACGTAACCATTTAACATTTGCTTCACTCTATGTTGTCTCTCCATCTCTATATCAATCTCTGGTGCTTCAATTTCCTATATTGTGTTGTTTGCGTTCCGACTTTGCGCTCGAAAGCTACAGGGCCTAGCTCGTTCTTCTGGACAAGCAGCGGTGAGACGTTCTTCACATTGACCAGGATACTTTTCCAAGGACCAAATCTCGTCCAACAAAATGGATCAAACCAAGCCACTAAAAGGGCCCCCCCCCTGTCAGTTAGCAAAGCCCTCACAGGGAGCTCGCATGATTCAGCGAGCCGCCCAAACAATTGCAAGCCAAGCGTCTTGCTCTGACACCTATGCTCCTTGCACTTCCTGCAGTAGACGCTATCCTCAGATCAGGTTGGGCTTGCCTCAAAACTAATGGGGTTTTAAGGCCCACCCTCCCCATGTTTCCCCAAAAAAAGGCCAATTAAGGACATACTGAGCCATTGGGTGCATCTTAACGTAGCGGAGCCCATAACATCACGTTGATTCGCTTGGAAACTCCCCAACATGGGTCAAGCAGGCAAACATGGGCCCTCCAACATGGTGCCACACCCATAAGAGTTGAACATTTGAAACTGACAATTTTCCAAACCCTAAGGCATGTGGGGAACAAAATAATGATTTGACGCCAAGGCCCAGGACCGTTTTGGTCGAACCCAACAGGCAGGCTCTCCAGGCTTTTTGGGAAACATGGGTTGAAGGATGAAGCCGTTAAAGGCTGTCAAATGAGCTGCTTTATTTTGCAGGAAAACGCTGTGGTTTGGGGCAGAGAGCAAGCTTGGTTCGTTCGAACCCAGGTCAAACAGGGAACATATAGAGACACGAATATGAGCTCCTCCGCTCGAGCTCATTATGAATGTGCCTCATCTCGCCAATTTCTGGTATTGGCTCCATCTCCTAAGGGTCAAGGGCCCTTTCAATCCCCGACCCTCGGGGGTCCTTGAAGATAACTCTTGATGATTCGGCGACACACGTTTAAAGTGAGGAAACACACTCCCGCTTTTTGCCCGATTTTTATTATCGAGGCACTGCCTCTGCGAGCACCTCTCGCTCCATGCCCTTCTGCAGGCAGGCGGTGAGTGTGGTTCCCCCCGGCGCCGGCGTCTTCGAGGCCTTGGGCAACGCCTCCTTCAGCAGATCCGCCTGCCTGGTCGCAGTTGCGGTTTTCAACGGTTGCCATGTGGTATGTGCCAGGGTCAACTCTTGAGTGGGCAAAATACGCCAAAGAACGCGAGGCATGGGGTTTTCTTTGAAGATGGCCCTCCCACGAAACCAAAGGGTTTTCCATGGGAAAGCAACGAGATTACATCTGCAAGCCTGGGTATGTCCCTAAGCATCTTTGTGGGAAAAGAGGGGCCATGCCCAAAAGCAGATTCTGCTAAAAGGTGTTGCCTTTGTGGTTCGATGTTGATCTGCAGGGCGAGCACCTTGAAAGGATTCCGCTGCCAGTCTCAGCTAATGCACAGTCTGCTTTTCACAAATTTAATGTTTCCTATTAGGGGGCCAAACACCCCACCCAAATTTGCTGGTTCTCATTAAGAATCACAAACTGGCGGGGGGGGGGTTGACATGAACCTTTGGGATCTTTTGAAGGCAACCGCCAGGCATGGTTTGGTTTGGAGTCGCTCCCTTATTCCTTCTGAGAACCAACATGCAAACCCAAGTCTCAAGGGGTAAGTTCCACCGCATCCGCCCTTGCTTGCTCCTTGGGAACATGGGAATAAACCTCCCAACTTGATTCCATCCCCTACCAAGAACCCGGTGGTTTTTTGGTCCTTCCCCAATTCACCCCCTCTTTGGGGGAGGTTTTGCTGGGACAAAGCGAAAGTGAAGCGAAAGCCTCGCGTGCGTCCGAGCCGAGGCCCGCGCTCTAAGAAGTCGATGGCCAGCTGCGACGGCGCCCGGAAGGGCTGGCCATCCTCCGGCAGCAGGTCGCCTGAGTCACCCGAAACGGCGCCGAAACCGGGGCCCAAGGCACCCAAAAACAGTACGCCCGGATTCTGGGTCAGAATTTACTCAACCTTGACATATGAATAAATCATATTTGAAATGGCAAAACAAGATGATTCCGCCACCAATCCAAGGGGTGATTCCTTTGCTATTCCCTTCACCCATTGTTCCCTTCACCCATCTTCCCATTTCCCAGGTTGCATCCATCTGAAGAAGAGGGATCCTGAACAGAATGGAGGTGAAAAGCTTGGGAAGTGGGATGCTACTGAGATCACCCTATGAACCGGTGTAATTCAAGGAAAACTTCATATGGAGCACATTGCGTTTGGGATTCCTCCAGCACTTGGGCCATGAAAACAAGAAGATGCCACAAACAACAACTGAAACTGGGAGCTCCCTTGGGGTCCAAATCCAAGCCCTTGCCTCCCTTTCAGCAAGAGAGATGTTGCGCCTGCACGACTTCCGTAGATGTCCAGGTTCGTCAGGATCTCCTTGGCCAATGGGCACATCATGGACGAAGTGTACTTTTTCTCGTTGGTCGAGTCTGATAACCCCTCCCAAAAAAATGCAAAAAGCAAAGGAACCACTGGACCAGGAAATTACAACTTTCCCCAGAGTTGGAAGGGTTTTTCTAGACGAAAATTGTATCCTGCTGGTTTCCCTTAGCCATCCAAGAACGAACTCGGTCATTTAAGACACACCTAGGTGGGTGTGTCTTTCTTGAGGACCCTTGTTGGGTTTGAAACCAAGAGGAAACTATTCTTTTGAGCGGGGGGGTACCCCCGCTACAACCCTGAGGACCTTTGAAATCCTAGACAAAGTAGAGCCTGGAACAAATGTGAAACACACCAAAATGGGACCATCCTCAAAATGAAAGTCGTAGTTTATATGGCTCTCAAAACGGTTGAAATGCCTCCGTCACCTTTGACTCCGCTCGCAAAGAACTCCGAGTCACGAAGCTCCAGGGCTCCGGGATGGCGCAGGCCTTGAGGAGGTCCGTGGCCATGTCCTTTGGCAACCCCTGTTGTCGCTGCGGGCTTCCAGTTTTGTCACTTTGATTCTAAAGGGCCGCCCTCTCCAAAAAGAATCCCGTTTGTTGAGTGGGAGTCCTCTACCCTTTTTGTTGGATCAGAGATTGTCAGAAGCCATGGCAGAAACTGGTCACCCGTTCTTGATAATTGTTTCAAGAGGGAACTGGCCCCCCTCAGACAAAGAAGGGCAAACGGAATGGAAAAGGCACCAACTGCTGGAGGGGACAAGATGTCCACCCGAACTGGAACCCCTTCGTGCGTCCTGCAGCTGCTGGTGCACGTCGCAGTTGCGCGCACCTCGAACCACTGCCACCAGTCTGGGCTGGTCCAACTTGTCGTACTGCCAGGTCCTGAGTCGCACACTTCGATGTTACGCAGCCTACTGCGGATTGGGGCTCTCTCACAAAAGGGTGTTGTAACCCATGCAACCAATGTTAATGTGTTATATGATGTTTATGTTCCCCAAAGGCCAACACATTTACATAATGTCAAATGAAAATATGTATGTTTGATGTGCTTCATGATTATACCATTTAAATAATCCTGATTGCATTTAAATCTCCCGAAATCCTATGTAATTAAATGAACATTTCAAGCAGGGTATTGTCCGAGACTTCAGCCATTTAATTCAAGCCCAAGCGCAAAGGACGGAACAAGTGGCAGTTAGATAATTGGACATAGTGCATTCATTCAAGTTTTCGATCGATCTAATAATTTGAATACATTGGAACCTGGAAAGGCCAAGATGTTCAGCATCAATGAAACCATGTCATTGATTTTCATGAGTACGCTACTCCTGAAAGGCAAGCGCACGCATCTTGATATACTTAAGCACCTAGTATATTAAAGTAATGCCTCAAAAAGGTCTGTTTGTGCATACTAACCCTTGCGGCCCTTGAGAGGATCCCTGACAAGGACGGCGGACTTAATTTTGGGATGCCTCCACTACTGTAAACCATAAACACCAACTACATCATGGCCATTTTGGGGATTGTCTGACACATTCTACAAAACTCCTCCAAAAAACAAAGGGCTGTGAAGCTCCGCTGCATCAGAGGGGCTCTCTGGACGTCATCGTGGGCTTCGTGCGCTTCCGGTACACCAAGGGCACAAAGGTGTGATCGCTCACCGCCACCTCCGGCGCCAGCGGCACCTGACGTCCAGCGGCATAGCAGTGGTTTTACTGGTTGAACTTCTATATTCAAAGGTATTGGCTTAGTCAGATTTGCTTCAGCCGGTGCAAGTCTGAATATTCTGCATTAGAAGGTGCCTGAAATGTTTGTTCAACCCTTGGAAAGTAAGGTTGTTCTAAACTCAGGGACCCTCCTTTGCGTGGTGCTGCAAGGGAAACCAAGAGAAGAGGGCACCACCAAAACAGAGCCATGTACCATAATCAAGGGGTCGTCGCTCCGTGTTGAAAGTTTTGGAGACTTCAGGCAGGCATTCTGTTTATGGCAGGTTTCAAAAGGGCGAAACATGCCAGTGCGGGACTGTGGGCTTTGGTGTTTTCTGGACCTTGCAAAGGCTGTGGCTTGTCAGAATCTAGCCGTACCTTCGCATACCTTCCCAGTTATCCTCAGGGAGTTTTCTCTTCAGAACATGAGAACAACATCTGGGAGGGGGGGGGGGTTCTGAAGCATGGGTGAAGACAAAGCCAATTTGGTGGAGCAGGATGAAAAAGGAAGAGTCGCCAAGCATCTAGAATCCAACTACCTTTGACAGGTACTAAACTTCCTCCCCAACACAAGGACTTTTGTGATGCCTCCTACCGGCAGGCAAGCAACAGCATCTCGCACAGACACGGTGAAGCTGAATTGATCTCGCCAATAATTTGGATGCATGAGTGGTCAAACTCTTGCCAGGCAAGATACCCTGAATCCAGGCTTGCTCCGAGGTATCAACCAAAACTACAGGGCCGGGACAACACTTTAGCGGGGTTGCCTGTGTTTCCACCTGGACTCAAAAAGGTAACCCTGGCATGAAAACGTGCGCTGGGAAGGATGTAGCCGCGATCAAACCTGGGTAGTTGAGGTTTGGTAGGTGGCGATGGTATTGCTTACGCTAAGGTTTTGTTTTGGCCCACGTCAAGTAGTTCTTTTTGGTTTGCCCGGGTATCTGGAATCAAAACAAGCTTGGGACTCCTCCCACGATGGTTGCCTTTCAAGAGCTCACTTTCACAGAACATGCTGTCGATTGCCCTTCTTCTTGCGTGCGGGGGAACAAGGACCCCTCCCATTTGACATGTTTGTGCGGTCGGTTGGCTTACACAATGTTGGTGTTTTCACAAATAAAACACCCCTAACATGATCGGTTTCTTGTTTTTTTGTTCACCAAACTTCCATGAAAACCAACACCCCCAGAAACTCCCTGAACCCTCCAGGTACCTGCCCCAGATCGGCCGCAAACCTAGGGTTGGCATTCGATCCCATAGTGCCGTTGGGCCAAAGGACAGTTCAGCCTAGAACCAGCTGCAACTAGTGGAGTCCACCCTTGATTCTTGTCTTCTAGGGATTCCCCGTTCAAAAAACAAGCTCCATATCTCCATTTGGTGGTTGCAACAAGTTGCCTTTGGGGCTCAGTTCAGGTGAGTTTCGTTTTAGGATTATGTCAAGCGGGAAATGTAGGGAGAACCACTCAGAGCTGTGCTGCCCTTTGAAGAAGCCATCCCTACGCTCAAACCGAGGACTTTACAGAATAGGGTTTTCGGAAACGGGCCACTAACGGAGCACCGGTTGAAAGGCACTTGGAAAACAAACATATCCTCTGAAATTTATTAAAGGGAGCATGTCCATGAGGGAGTTTTCACAACTGGCCATAGATCTTAGGGGAAGGGACTATGATTAACAACTGTAGCAAGCTAAGGAGCCCCATTTACCCAAGGCCTTTGGGGCCGTATCCCAGCTGCCACTCAAATTTCCCGAGTCGATGCCTCGAAGGCGAAAATGTTGTCGGTGCTCCGGATCTCGCTCACGTAGTTGTGAGGCTCGAAGTGCTTGTAGATGCGCCCGTAGCAGACCTGCAGTCCCCCCAACAAACAGCCCAAAGATGGAAGCCTCCAGTTGGCTTCCCCTCAATGTTCAACCCTAACAATTCAGCCATGGTTTCTCCTATACCAGAAGGCGTTTTCGGCACCTAAGGTCTCTCACCCGGCGTGGTGCACGGACCTCTTTTGGAAGACGACCATCCTGCCTGCTGAAATCATGAGCCATGCAATTGTCAGAAACTGGAGCGGTTGTGCAAAAAAACAGCACATCACACTGGAAAATAGGGGGCCGCCAAGGGGCCAGACTCAGAACTGCAGCAACAAGCTAGCTTTTCTCAGGTAGAAAGGAAACAAAAGAAAATCAAAACAGAAAACTAAATCTGGCAATTCAGAGGGGTTCTTTTGTTGGTCGGAACAAAGCAAAAACGTCCCAAGGCTTCTGAAACAACGAGCCAAGGAGCGTCCCCAAAGCAGAAGCAGGACGGCTTCTCAGTGGGGGACCGACCCAGGTATTTCCAGAGCGCCGTCTCCAGCTGATCGATGCTGGCGCCCCTGTCCACCTGCCAAGTTGGACCCTAATGCCGCCCAATGGGGGGCCCTGATGTCGACAACAGGTGACAGGGCAAAAAGGTATGTCCAAGGGGTTGATTGCCCATGATCTTCCCTCATGCTTCTCCGACACTAGGCATTTTCCAAGGATCCCTATATACTGCGAAAGGAGGGTTAGGAACTTTCATGGAACTTCAGGGCGGAGGGAGCATGCGGGTACGGTATAGTCGTCTGTTAAACCCCGTAGTAAAGACTTGTTCAGGGCTGATCCCAGGTTTCTCCAGGGATGCACCCCCCAATTGACCCCTTCATGATACCTCAAGCAGCCACGCACGAAGCGAGTAAAAATTGAAAGCAAAGTTCGAATTTGGGAGGCTCGTGACATTCAACTGGTAGCGAACACCGGGTGGTCTTTGACTTTGACGGTCTCAAGGACCCTCTGTACACACTTTGTGCCAGTTGGTGAGACATTGTCATTTTCCATACGGTCAAGCGTTGAAGGTCGCACCCAAGAGCAGTCAAACACTGACTTTCTATGCAGGCAGCCTCCCCTCTCCCCCAAAGCTGCTAACAACAAAGATGAAAATCAGCAACGCAAATTTTTTAACTTTCAAATCAAGGGGATCGGGATGCTTTTGGCTCCATGGACGCGCTATGGATACCGGCCTCGAGCCATACACACCTACCTAAGTGGGATTCCCATCCCCATGCTTTAACCACTTTAAAGGATTGGCATTACAGGAAGTGGCCCTAACACCATTTGTCCACAACCGTACCCCTAGACCCCCAGTTAGTCATCACGTACTCCCCTGCAAGTTGACAAGGAACCTAACAAGGGGGTCCATGTCTTTCTAAACATGATGGCCTTTGCGTTTCATGGCGATCTGCCAAAGATGCAAAAGAGTATCTGCTTGAGGTGCCGCTATACAATGACAACTATTTACCGGTCATGACCATCGCCCTCCAAAAGCCAGCTGGAAAAAGCACAACAAACTCTATCCCGAAGCAAGTGGGCGTCGCGTCTATACAACCCCGCCTTCACATCTTGAAAGAGACAAACATTATATCCCTTCCTCCCGCGCCGATGGAGGGAGGGCTTCGAGCCAAGTACGTGTTCAAACTCGTTCAAATCATTCAAACTCTGGTATTGTTTCTTTAAAGACCAAGCTATGACCAAGCCAGGACCATACAAGGATTTGCCTAATTAGTCCCCTCTAAATTGACAGGAGGAACCCAAATGGGGTCCACCCCCCAAAAGGAGATTCGGGTCCGAAGAAGGGGTAGGCTTTTGGGTTGCTTCTCCGGGTTGACCTCTGCACGGGATTCTGGCATGGAACCAACCTTTCATGCCACACAATTTGCTCAGGCCAACAAAAAGAATCGATTGTTCCTTGATGTTCCTTGATCTAGGACCCCTCATTTGGAAGCCATCGGGCGGTGTTTTGCCGTCGGGCACGAAACGGCGTTGCCTCCAGCTGCATGTGCCTCGGCTGGAAGTCGGAGCCGACCAGCGTGAGGCTCACCGAGTGCGGAGGCTTCGGCACCGGCAGCGTGAGGTACATGATGGGGTCGAAGGTGACACTCCTCAACCCAGTCACTTGGAGAGCTGGAAGCCTGTCCTGTTTTTGGGGAGACCAAAGGTCAACGGGTTCAGTGCGAGTGGAAGCCTGTCTTGCTTTCAGGAGCTTAAACGGGGCGGTCCAAACGGGTTTGAAATGGTTGAACTGAAGAGGTGGAGGGCTTGGTTTCCCCGAAAAGGATCCCAGGCAAGAATGGGGAATTTACCGCTATAGACCCAAGACTCAACCTTTCGGTGATTTTTTGGGGCGCGAACGCATTCTAGGTGCTCTATTCAGGGCTCTGCAAAAAAACACGACGTAGCCTTGAAAGGTTCGTTGCCAAGCAATGTAACGGACCCCCCCCTCTCCCCCCGGCAAATGGGGGCCCGGCTTCCTGTTGGTACCCCTTTTTATTAAACAACCTTCACATGACGGCACTAAAAAACAACCAACGTAGATTGCCCAAGATACCCAAATGGTGACCAAAACCCATTGGCACCCCATGGGTCTCAAAATGGGGTTGACTGCTTGAAGCCTCCTGTTTTATGGACCTTAAAAGGGTGCTACCAGGGTTTGGAAAGGGTTGTACTGGAACGGTGCCAAATAGCGGGGTCTGGACAAACTGAAGCAAAGTCATCCATCTGCCTGTGGTGTCCTTCAGTGGAAATCAACATGTGTTGGGCTTTTTGGCACTGGCACGGTCATGGGAACTACGGATTCACATGCCAAATAAGCCCACTGCAGGCCTACAGTTTGTTCATGGGTGCTCTAGTTTGACACCTGCTTAAGAAGATTTCAGGGGGCCACCAAACGCAGGGTTTCACGCGTGTCCCAGACCCGCAGGGGCCATCTGTGCAAAGAGAAGTTGTGGTGTGGTCTGGCAAGCCACACCCCCATTGGCAAGCCGGGCGGCACGGTGGAACACACAGGGCACGTCAGCTCTGATCGGATCTGGAACCTGCGACGGGTGGCTTGCATTCTAAGAAACCAGCCATGGCAGTTCTAAGATGGTTTCCACAGCACCCAAATCACTACCCCAGGAGCCAAGTGTATAGTGGCTGCATATGCCCTTGTTGGTGGGGGTAGTTTGAAATCAACGTACACAGGAAATTCCGTAGAAAGTTAGCCCAACTTTGCTAAGCTGCGATCTCTGTACCTGACTTCCTCTCAAGTCCCAGGATCGTTCCAAGGATTGCCCGTGACACGATTCGCCCAAGCACACAAGCGAACAATTCGCTGCGTTCCTGAGTTGTGAGAAATGATCCTGTGAGTTTTACCGTGGGGATGGAATCTCCCAAAGGACCCGGAAATAAAAGGTTAATCTTTTGGGACCTCGACTAACAATGAACCAAAAAGGATAGCCCAAAGGAAAGAAGATCGGCCTTGTTTTATCTGTGCTTGTCAACGCTGCAGCCACATGGCCCACCCCCTCGACCCCATCTCTCTCATCCCCTCTTGAAGACCCGTGCAAAACAACCTCAAACTGATTGCCAAGCTCGTAAACTGGAACATCAAATACATTCCCGTAAACGAGCAGGTTCCACCACCAAACGGCACAAGTGGACGGCAAAAAGCAACCGCCGTAGCGCCGAACCTTTCCGTCTCGTCCAAAGCGTGCCAAGGAACTGGAAGAGGTCCACAATCTGGGAGTCGCTGCGCCTGCGATCCATGGATTTGGAACTTGGCCCAAGGTATCCTTTTAAGGCTTTTAAGGGACCCTCTATAAGAAGCCCTTTGACTCGGGCGCCTCTTGTGCAGCTCCCACATCTCCTGGGCACGCTGCTCGTCGGACTTGGGCACCTCTTCGTCCTCCTCCTCCGTGGGGTAGGGATACGGCGCCCGGTTCACGTCCTGCCGGGTTCACATCCCGGAGGCCCCACAAAACATGCTGGGTCTTCGTTAATACATCCTTCCTAAAATGTGTTTACTTTTAGTGGGATAACGTCAGAAAGCCTTCTGAACTCTAAACATCTTAAAGTCACAGGGGATGGCAGGGAATTCCCAATTTGTAGGATTCCAACCCCCGCAAGCCCCCTTCCATAACCTCCCCCCTGGTTTCTCTAGGGTCAGCCTTGTTCTGGAAGCCAATTATATTCTGGTATGGTTTCCACTACCCGCAAACCAGTACTGGTACCTCACTGGTCTGATTGTCGGTGTAGTGCCCTGCTTGTCTTGCATGGTGTAACCTAAAGCTCGGCTAAACGATCCCACATGCTAAGCCAGTGTTTCCCATTGTAGACCTGTCAAACCATCCAAGAAGGCCCAAGTCGCACAACCGAAACCTGGTTTTTAAAAAGACTAGCACAAAGCATCGTTGCGCCGGGGGCAACGCGGGGCTACTTGAAAACCCGGTACCAAAGGTTCCTACTTGAGTCGGAATCAAAATGACAGTTGTCTGAAATTCCTTGTTCCGGAAACCGCCATCTTCGCGAGAAAAAAATTCGCCTCGGCCCCAAAGGGGCCAAGGGCGCTCAGATCTCTTCTCCAAAGAGAATCTTCGCTTTTCCCCTCCCCCAACCCCCTCCCCGACCAAAATTTTGCCGGGCCGCCCCCCCCAACCCATGTCGGCTGGACCCAAAATCCTGTCCGGCGGGCCTTGAAATTTTCGGGGTTCGTCGGCGTCCAGCTCCATGGGTCCATTTTTGTCGAAAATGTGCTGACAATTGCTAAAAATGCTTTTTTGTCCTGAAAAGCATGACCTCCTCATGGCCAGGCTTGCCTGACGTGTCTGAGACTAGGCTCAGGCCCAGCCCAAAGCCCACCAGCCTCAGGCCCAAGCTTCAGGCCTACCCCAAGTCATCCAGCAAGCCCAGCCCAGCCAGGCCGGCCCCAAGGTCAGGTTTGTCTAACGTGTCTGAGACTGGCCTCAGGCCAACGGTGTCTGAAACTGGTCTCAAGCTATGCCAGCCACCAAGCCCGTCTGACGTGGCCCAGCCCTCAGTCCGGCTGCCCAAGCAACTCAGCCCAGGCTGGCCAGACCTTGACCTCCTGCTCGCGTCTGGCCCCAAATCAGCCAGCAGGCCCCGTCTCAAAGTGTGGCGTGTCTGCGACTGGCCTCAGGCCCAGCCCAGCCAACTTGCCACCCAGCCTCAGGCCCAAGTGTGTATGAAACAGGCCTTGCCCATCCAGCAACCCGCCCAAGCACAGCTCAGCCCAGCCCGCCCAGCCCAAGTTCCAGGCACAACCAGCAGCCTGGTCCGGCTGCCCGGCAGCCAGCAACCCACCCATGGCTTCGCAGCCTTGTGTGAGACTAGCTTCAGGCCCAGCCCAAAAGCCTGCCCAGCCCAGGCCCCAGCGCATCTCAGAGCATGCCAGCCACTACCAGCCCCCAACTCCCAGACCAGCAGGCTCAGCCCAGTGTGGTTTGTCTAACGTGTCTGAGACTGGCCTCAGGCCAACGACCAGTCTGAGACTGGTCTCAAGCTATGCCAGCTACTCAGCAGCCCAGGCTGACCAGGCCCCTTCAGCGCAGTCTGAGACTGGTCTCAAGGTATGCCAGCCTGAGACTAGCCTCAGGCCCAGTCCCTCAGCCCGCCTGCTGGCGTGTCTTACGTGTCTGCGACTGGGCTGAGGCCCGGCCTGGCCAGCAACTCGCTACCCAGCCTCAGCCCATCCAGCGACCCGCCCAAGCACAGCTCAGCCCAGCCAGCCGAAGTTCCAGGCGCAACCAACACCATAATCCAGCTGCCCAGCACCACCCATGGCTTCGCAGCCTCGTGGCTGAGACTAGCTTCAGGCCCAGCCCAACCAGCAACCCGCCTAAGCCAACCCCACCCAAGCCCACCCGGTTTGAGACTCGCAGGCTATCTAGCGCCGAGACTGGGCCTCACCAGCCTGGGCTCAACTAGCGTCTAGCCCAGCCCCAGTCCGCCTGCTGGCCAGGCCTGTCTGACGTGTCTGAAACTGGCCCAGCCATAGCCCAGCCCCCTCAGTGCGGCTGCCCAGCCCGCCGTAAACTAGCTTCAGCTCAACCAACAACCCACGCAAGCAAGGTCCAGCCAAGCTGCCCGAGACTAGCTTCAGGCCCAGCGCAGGCTTATCTGATGTGTCTGAGACTGGCCTGTGGCCCAGCCCAACCAGGCGAGGCCGGCTTGTCTGACTTGTCTGAAGCCAGCTTCAGGTATTCGGACCTTCCCAACACTGGATTTCGGTGTTCCTGACCCTTCCCTCAAACTAGGCTGGGCCGAGGCGGGCAACGCGAAGCGTTTACAATAACTTTCGCGGACCCCATCGCGGAACTTTCGCGGGGCTATTTTCAGAACATTCATCACAAAAGTAATACACAAAATACACTTTCGCAGCCCCAGCTTCAAAGTCGCAGCTTTTCAATACAAAGGTAGCAAAGAAAACTTCCGCAGCCCGGCTTGAATGTCGCAACTTTTCAATACGAAAGTAGTACACGAACTAAACTTCCGCAGCCTCGAAAGTCAAAGCTTTCTAACACAAAAGTAATACACAAAGTAAGCTTCCGCAGTCCCAGCTCGAAAGTCGCAATCTTTTAGTTCCAAAGTAGCACGCGAAGCGCGTTTCCGCAGCTCCAGCTCACAACCGTTACCTGCACACGAGAGGACCCATTGGCCTCATGTCCCGGAAGCTGGCGGGAGGTCCGTCGACTTTCGCGAAACTTTCGCGGATCTTACGCCAAACATTCGCGAAAATCCGGCTGGAAGTTGCACTCAACTTGGCTCCAAAGCTTCAAAACTCCCACCAGCCGGTTTCTGCTGGCTGGGAGTTGCTTTTGCAGCGGCGTATTCTTGCGGCGACCCTCAGGCTGCGCATTCCCCGGCCAATTTTGGTCTGCGGGCATTCTGCCCGCACTGCCGGTAAATACACATGGTTCATCACTCCAGCTTCCTGTTAGCAAGCCACCCTCACACAAAACTTTCGCGAATAAAAAATTAACTTTCGCGACCCCCTTCGCGGAACTTTCGCGGAGGTCAACGCCAAGACCAAAAGGTCTTCCCCTTCATAGCTCAATACAAGGACCTTTCGGACGACTCTCAAATAGAAATCCACCCAAAACCATGGCAGGGAAACAAGAGATCCCTTAAGCTGCACTTTCCCGGGGTTTGATCACGGCCCATTCTCGGAAATTTCAAACGGGACCCCATCTTCTACCCTTGTGATTTGATCAAGTCTTGGAGCCACCCTGTGAGCAACCCCTTGGATTATGAACCCTTAGTTCATCAGCCAGGGTCTAATCTCAACCACCGTTTGTTGTCGCCCTTTTTGTTGGCCTTCCCAAGTAGTTCCTTTCCTGGAAGGAACCAAGACATGTGTGTCCCCAAAAAATACGAGACCCCCACAAATGGCCAAGGTTTCCCGTGAGGGTTGGGCCAACCCTGCTAGAACACATTCGCACCACCTTTGTTTGAACAACATCCACTCGTTTTTGTTTTTTTTCATTTCAAGGTTGCTTCAGCAAACTTTGCCCAAGCCTCATTTCCATTCACCCAATTCGTGGGTTGGGGACCAAGCAGGTTGTCACTAAATCCATATTATGGATGGGCAAAGCCCACTTCACAGCACTTGGGATGAATGAAACCCTACACGTATCGGGAGAAACCACCTATGAACTGGCGCGAAGTGAGCTGTGTCCATCCACTGCACTGCTTGGTGTTTCGTTGGCGGGCCAAAGCCTTTGGACACACCCGCTTGAGGCGCCAAACATGTCAGGACTTCAAAGGATTCCACCCAGACTTCCTTTCGTCCTTTTGAGAGGACGGGAGGTTGCCATGTGAGCCATGGTCAAAATTACTTGCTTCCCCTGAAGGGCGATCCTGGCTTTTGCGTGGAAATTTAGAGCTCGGCCCCATGTGTCGAAGTTCGAATCGACCATGGACTACCAGCAATTTCGCCCAAATTTCATGTTTTTGTTGCATACCATTGGCATTTCCTTCTTGGACAAACAAACCGTTTCCGGGCCTCATGCAACGCATCCAGCAGGAAGCACAGCAACTCGTGGGCGTCGTGCTGCTGGTAGCCTCGGAAGGAGAAAATTAAGTAGCGCCCACCCATCCATCATAGAAACATCTACAGGAAATGACACAGGAAGTTAGCCTCACCAAAACAAGGAGGGTGTCGGCTAACTTCCTGCAGGATTTCGGTCTCTCAGAATCCATTGACATTCGGCTCTACCAAGACTGTACTGGTTCTAAGGTTCTTGGGCAGAAATCAACTAGAAAGCAAGCAAAAACCGTGGAAGCGGAGAGAACATTCAACTGTCCTGCTCGTAAGTTTCCTTGCACTGGTATATAATCAGTACTATATTCTACCAAGCTGGCACAAAGGGACACAAATGGTCCTGCCGGTACATTGGGCACGGATTGGTACCGGCCAAGAGACCACGGCTATCTCAGCTGTCATGATAGCTTATGGGAGATACCCAAAACAACAACTCTTACACGAGCCACTCAGAGCTGGCAAGGTTCGGGTAAGCAAAGTGAGCTTCGTAGCAAAATCCTCTCATACTGTCCTTGTGGAAGGGTCGCCCACCATCTTACTCCAAATGGTGCCTACCTTGAGTCTCCGAGACCCTTTGACATTGAGCTCACGACCCCTAATGATTGGTACAGAGAATCCTGAGGACTTGCTGGGATGTTTAGGCCGTGTTTTTCTGACAACACCTGCGCAGTCGGGTCCCAAAAACTTCGGATTTCTGGTTCTTCTAACATGGTAAGAAAGGTCGATATAGGCCGTGGGAGAATCACCCTGCCAGCCGGGACTGGGAAAAGCGGTGATGGGGCCACTCCCAAAGCCTTCCCCTTCGCCAGTTTTTGCTGTAAAACGGGCGCCTTGTGTTGGTACTTGATTCCAATTCAAAGGGACCCCCCCGGACAAGATGGCTCAAGCAAGGATAAGGACTGCACCCAACCGGACAAATGCCAAGCAGCCGCTGAACTCTGGCCGTTTCTGGCCGATCAGCTTCTTTAAAGAAGCTGGTGCCACGCTTTTGTTCCTGTAGCGCGGTTTGACTCAGCCGAACACCCGGGGTTAGGTCGTGTTTGGTTTTACAAATATGCCATATTATGTGTATGCATCAAAACAGGGGACCCCGAAAAGGTGGCATTTCCATTGATTTCTCTTTAAAACGGCCCAACATCGGCCCAACAAGAATACCGGGTACTCACAACAAAAACACGCACCCACATGCTCATACAGGTTTATACACGCCGCACTAGAAGCCCGATCAAGCCAGGTGGTACGTAGAGCACCACTAACTAAAAAGGCGGGCATCGGGGCAGAAAACCCTAGAAAAACTGTCGCGGCTGGCATTGTGGCATTGGCAAGTCATCCCTCAGTCTTCCCTTATTGCTGCTCTCAAAACATCCAAACACATTCCTCACCCATGCCTTCCCCAGTCCATGCGTCTTTGCTTCTCCGGACCATCAGTGGCCACGGGAGAAAAAGGAGCGCCATATCTGTTGTAATGTTGCACCTGGTTCAATATCGGTAGTCTGAATTATGTCAAGTTTCTCCGGCTTAAACACGACCCCCCCCCCACTATTTCGGTACCATGATCTATGTCAAGTTCAGACCCCAAAACATCCCGATCCAAAAAATATGAGCAAACATCTTAGGAGTAAGCGGGTTAGGAATCCCCAGATCAGTTAACAGCTGTTTGCTTTTTAAAAGGGGCTCCAAATCTACAAACTTAGCAAGGGACCAGGCCAAGACCAGAGCCCAAGAATTCCTGGTTTGATCCTAAACACCAACCATCAAAATCAAATCCTGTACTTAGATCCATCCAAAAAACACTCCCAACATGATCCTGCAAGGGGGCTGCCCACAAGGTCTTTAAGGGGCACTGTTTGGGTACCATGCTTAATGTCCATCAATTCTTAGGGGTGGGTGGGTTAAGAATCCCCAGGTCAAATCTTAGCCTGTTGCTTTTGAAAGGGGCTCCAAATCTACAAACTTAGCAAGGGGCCAGGCCAAGACCAGAGCCCAAGAATCCCTGGTTTGATCCTAAGCACCAACCATCGAAATCAAATTCCTTTACTTAGATCCATCCAAAAAACACTCCCAACATAATCCTGTAAGGGGGGTTGCCCACAAGGGGCCCTGATCATCTTTAAGGGGCACTGTTTGGGTACCATGCTTAATGTCCATCAAGTCTTGGGGGTGGGTGGGTTAAGAATCCCTAGGTCAAATCTTAGCCGTTTGCTTTTAACAGGGCCTCCAAATCTACAAACTTAGCAAGGGACCAGGCCAAGACCAGAGCCCAAGAATTCCTGGTTTGATCCTAAACACCAACCATCAAAATCAAAATCCTGTACTTAGATCCATCCAAAAAACACTCCCAAAACAATCCTGCAAGAGGGGTTGCCCACAAGGGGCCCTGATCATCTTTAAGGGGCACTGTTTGGGTACCATGCTTAATTAATGTCCATCAAGTCTTAGGGGTGGGTGGGGTAAGAATCCCCAGGTCAAATCTTAGCCGCTTGCTTTTAACAGGGCTCCGAATCTAAAAACTTAGCAAGGGACCAGGCCAAGACCTGAGCCCAAGAATTCCTGGTTTGATCCTTAGCCCCAACCATCAAAATTCCTGGTTTGATTGAAGTAGTGGCAATCCAACAGGACGTGATGGCAATACAAAACCAAGTAGTGGCAACCCAAAACAAAGTGCTGGCAATACTAAACCAAGTAGTGGCAATACTAAAGCAATACTTAAGTCATCCAAGCTCCCTGCCAGATCCGTATTCAGGATCCCCGAGCACTGTTTTGTTTTGACTGTTTGAGGGGGGGCCCACAGTAAACAGTGAAACAAGGTCCAACATTACTTCATCTTAGAGGAAAGCCCTCAAACGAAAGTTGAAAAAGGACATACCGCTTTGATGCTACATTGAAAGGGACAAAGGGAACACCTGGCCGTTTTACATATCACAAGATATTATATATATATATATATGTCATGATATGAATCCAAATTTGAGGCCAAGCCCTCGACTTCCGAAGGAGCTGGGAACTGCGAGCCTTGGCCCAGACCTCACAGGCTGGGACCCGAAACCTTTGGCGCCGAGGTGCTCGTTGGACCACCTAGCGAATGACCAGGTCATCACTTTGGCCTTTGGGGGGGGGAAGACAACCACTTGAATTTATATACGCATCTGGGAGCTCAAGATGGATGGTCACCCAGTGGTTTACCCCCCCAAGCAAGATGACAGAAACGAAATGGCTCACCTTGACAAACACCCCAAGCAAGCGGAAACATACACGCACACCCCTTTCGCAAAGCTCAGGATCGTGGGGCGTGATTTGCCTTCCATAGGCCTGGCCCATGAAATTTGTCCCGGTTAAGTGTGGCTCGCCCAGAAAGGGACTGATTCAGAACATCTGCCTGCCTGAGTAGAAATCCGCCGAGCCTACGAAGTCTACGGGGAGGCTACGCCTATGCAGATTGAACATCCCTTGGATAGATATGGCAAACCCAAGACTTGGCTCCAGCCAGCATGCAATTTAATCATTCGCCAGCTTTAGATGAGGGATCCCCCCGCAAGGACAGAGCTTGTGCAAACTGGCAGCTTCAACTTGTCAAGCATTCAGGAGAACCCACTTCCCTTGTTTTTCTGCAGCTTATTCAGGTAAACCACGCTTCTTGGGTCGGAAAACCACATATTCCCAAGAAGGACAACTCACATGGAACCTACAAAAAGAGGGTGTTGGGTTACCTTGGAATCGGCATAGAAACAGTGCTTTGAGATCGAGTTGCAGCGTCCGCTTCGAACATGGAGACTTTCTTGCCCGGCAATGGAAACAAAAGAACACTTCTGTTTGTTTGATGCAGGACCCCCACCCAACGCAGAGGATCCCCTGCAAACAGGTGAACACACTTTGCTGGTAGGGGGAAAGTGAGGAACCTGACCAGGGCAAGGTCGGGCAATGTGGCAATGTCAAAAAAGGAAACATGACACCGCTGCTTCACCGGGAAGAGCGAGGAACATTGGAGTCCAGTCTTCCGCCCAAGGAGCTGTTCAAATGTAGGTCGAACCGAGGAACCTGTGGACCCTTTCATTGGTTTGGAGGCATCTCCTGTTGGGAAATAGATCCACCTTTTGAGGTTCCTCCAGTTAAATTTCAGTGGGTAAACAACTTACGGAACTGAGGGCCCCCTGTCTGTTCGGGGCGACCGGCCAGAACAAGGGTAAACGCTGTTTGGCCGTCTCAAATGATGGAAACATCGGCCGACTTTGCAAGTTTCAATTTTACGTTGACCCATTTTGAGGTGGCTTTAACAAGAACCCGCCCATTTTGAGCCTTTTTCGGAGTGCGTTTCAATGGGCAACCGTTGGAAACCGGTTCGGACGCCCTTCGACTCGCGGACTCGCTGGGCTCGCTGCACTCGTTTTCTGGGCATCCCAGGCATGTCCCGCAGCAACTTGCTGAACTCCCTCGCGATCCTGCCCTCCGTGGACAGTGGGGAGGTGCTGATCTGCTCCAGGAAGGCTGGCTTCTGGCCTGCAACCAGCGAGACCCGCTGGGACCCCAAGCTACCCCAAGGTACCTTAGGGCACTCTAGCTTCGTTTTTCCAAATTTGTGTTAAGAGTTCATCAACGGTGGTTAGGGGACCTTAACCTCACCCCCTCAGTAAAGGTTAGGGGAGGAAAAGGCCACCTGTTTGGAAAATACCCCCGTGGAAATCAGCGGCCTCGTCGCTGGAACAACAGCAGCCACAACCACAACAACAACAGCAGCAGCAGCAGCAGCAGCAGCAACAACAACAACAACAACAACAACAACAACAACAACAACAACAACAACAACAACAACAACAACAACAACGACAACGACAACGACAACGACAACGACAACGACAACGACAACGACAACGACACGACGACGACACGACAACGACAACGACAACGACAACGACAACGACAACGACAACGACAACGACAACGACAACGACAACGACAACGACAACGACAACGACAACGACAACAACAACAACAACAACAACAACAACAACAACGACAACGACAACAACGACAACGACAACGACAACGACAACGACAACGACAACGACAACGACAACGACAACGACAACAACGCAACAACGACAACGACAACGACAACGACAACGACAACGACAACGACAACGACAACGACAACACAACAACAACAACAACAACAACAACAACAACAACAACAACAACAACAACAACAACAACAACAACAACAACAACAACAACAACAACAACAACAACAACAACAACAACAACAATTACTTCGCTTCGAGCATCCCCACCCTCCACACTCACGAGCTTACGACCGCCGTTACAAGAAATTCCTCCGCATCCTAGAGACCCCGACTCCAAATTCCAATCGCCCCCTTCCCTTCCCATTGGCCACTTTCACTTGTCTGCGAGCCGACCTCGAGAACTCAAACATCGGTTCCGTTAACAAAAGCCAAGCCCCTTCCAAAAAGAAGCCCGACGGGGGATTAAACAAAGTTGCCTATTTACGACCCAAAGCAACACAAATCATCATCCTTTCCGAGCCTCAGGGTACACTCAAAACACGAAGCTCCAACATGAAATGTAAACCAACTGCGCGCCGGGCGGGACGATAAGCAAAACCAGACTGGCGAGCTGATCTGGCGGGATACTGGCAGGATCCACTGGCGAATACTGGCGAGCCGGCTCTGGTGGGATACTCGGCGGGATTCACTGGCAAGCTACTCTGGGCGGATACTTGGCAGGGATCCACTGGCGAGCTACTCTGGGATACTCAGCGGGATACTCGGCGGGATCCACTGGCGGGCTGCTCTGGTGGGATACTCGGCAGATCCACTGGCTGGCGGGATACTCGGCGGGATCCGCCGGCAAGCTACTCTGGGATACTCAGCGGGATACTCGGCGGGATCCACTAACAAGCCGCTCTGGCGGGATACTGGGCGGGATCCACTGGCCAGCTGCTCTGGCGGGATACTCGGCGGGATCCACTGGCGAGCCGCTCTGGCGGGATACTCGGCGGGATCCACTGGCGAGCCGCTCTGGCGGGATACTCGGCGGGATCCATTGGCGAGCCGCTCTGGCGGGATACTCGGCGGGATCCTCTGGCGAGCAGCTCCGGATACTGGGCGGGATCCACTGGCGAGCTGCTCTGGCGGGATACTCGGAGGGATCCAGTGGCGAGCTGCTCTGGCGGGATACCGGGTGGGGGCGTGGTGTAGAAGCATCGCAAACGCGGATTCCAACATAAAATCTAACAACCCCTTCCTGTCGGGTGGGGAACAACAACAACAACAACAACAACAACAACAACAACAACAACAACCACGACGACGGCAGCAGCAACAGCAACAGCAACAGCAACAGCAACAGCAACGACAACGACAACGACAACGACCACAACCACAACCACAACCACAATCACAACCACAATCCGCACCCACTCACCCACCCACCCACCCACTCACCCCACCCACCCACCCACCCACCCACCCACCCACCCACCAACCAAACACAACAAACAAACCAACCAAACAACCCAACCAACAAACCAACGAAACAAAACAAAGCAAACACTCAAACACACAAACGAACAAAACAAACCAAACCAAGCGAAACCAAACCAAACCAAACAATCAAAGAACACAAAGCGTTTCTCGGTGAGGGAAACCCATCAGCCTTGTGGACCTCTGACCTTGTGAGAACGAAGCACGTGCGGAAGCTGACCAAACAGCAGATCAGTCAAACCAAGCAGGGAACTTTTTCTGGGGATTTTTACATGTTCATTGTTCTGTCGGGGAACGCGCAAACAACAATGGTTCTTAAGCCTGCCACTGACTAAATTGGCTGCGGTTGGTAAATTTGCTGGTGCTTCTTGGCCAAGAGGACTCCTCACAAGGTCAAGGGACCTGTTTGCCTTGAAGCCTTCAGACTTCAAACACCGAGTTCCCGCTAGTCGCCGCGGCACTAAAAAAGAAGCCCCGAACCACACCACCTGCTGCGATTTAGAGAGTTGCTGGTTGTTGAACAGAGAGTGGGTCTGGGAAAATCAACGAATCATCCATCTACTGGTGGTGACATGTGGACAACTACAAGACTAAGATACATGCTTCATGACGTGTTGGTGGTATCCACGAATGGTCTAAGGGTAACTTCCCCGTTTCGGCTCGAGCCTTCGCGCGGTTGCCCTGTTATGGGGTTCCCTACGAACGAGCCATGACATTGCAAGAGATGTCAGCATGAAGTCGCACGGTTGCAACGTTTTGGATCAGGTTCATGTGCTCGCCCACAACCACGGGTTAGCTACTTGTACTGGAATGATCTCTCGGGCCTCCCTTCTGGTCTCTGAGCATGTGACTGTCTTTGATGTCGAATCAATTCTGACCTTTGAGACTGTGCCTCATGTTGCTGACTGGCTTGAATCACCAATCGGCACCGGTTGTATTCACAATCTCAGGAAACCTGAAGCTGCTGCAGGAACATGGAAGTGCACATCGCACTGCTCCACTTTTAAGACAAATTGGCAGCTCTTTGTGAAGCCTTTTAGGCTTGCTGAGATTTTCTGTGGTGGCTTTGTTGGTTGGGCGCACGCTGTGCGTATCCCGGACCCCATAATCGCTCCAATACATACATACCGTTGCTGCAAATGATCTTGGCCTCAGTGTGGCGACAGCTTACTCACACACCCGTGGAGCAACTTTGTTCAATCAGTGTGCTCCCCAAGGACCTACCACATTAGCAGGCATTGAGCCTCCACTTGGCTGGCATGCAGACATTTGCACCAGCAACTGGCATGCTGACTTTGGAATGATCTCTGTCAACAATTGGGCAGTCAGTTCAATATACACCGGTTGGAGCGATTCTGGGTTGCAAGCAGGGCTTCACAGCAGGGGAGACGAAACGTTGATGCAGGCCAGCGCCCTGGTTCACATCTGTCAGCCGCCACTGATCACCTTCGAACATGTGGCCGGACTCAAAGATCATCACCACTTCCTAGTCGGCTACGAGCTTTGGAACAATGCCGTATCCCGAAACGTGACGGTGCATTCGAGCTAGCTGATGCACCTTCGGCGCTATTGCGTTCCAGCAGTAATGAGAATGTTGGTCGCTGACCGAGAGGGACCCATGCCCTGGGCGCCTCGGAGCCCTGCGGGCAACACAGTTACCCTGTACTGTTGTTAGTCGGCTGCTGGACAAACCACTGCTGCCCTCCCTTGCCTCCTGAATGCCAGTTGTAATGCCAAACCCCTGAGCCATGCGGTCCTGGACCATGAGTGTCCTGGACCAATTCGAGAGCACTGCATTGCCACACCCGTTAGCTCTCAAAGAGCTGCATCGGATGCTTCGGATACATCCTGTAGATAGGGCAAGCGTGTTCCTTCCTCATTCTCACGTGTGAGACTGAACCGGTCCGCCTTCGCAGCTGCGGGGGGCGGGCCGAACCAAGAAGAGTCGCGGTACTTGTCACTAGGACCTTGTTTTCACCCCAAAATCAGCGTGAAACTGGCGAACAACAAGCAACAAGATGCGCCGTCCTCCAGATGTTTGAAGCGACCCAACGGGTAAGTTATAGGTCTGGTTGACGGTCCTGGCCTGCCGTCCCTGCGAAGAAGGTTCGCAGCGGGATGGAGTTGGAAAGGCACTGCCTTGCCACCCGAGCTTGAGATGGCCGTAAACTGGTTGGCTTCTTTTCGATTTGCTTTGAAATATGGGTCCAACGTTTTCACAAACTCCCAGCTGTTTCCTTTCTGGATCCCCCTTCCAAAGGACCCTAAAAGGGGTGTCTCACAATCATTCACACACCCATTCTGGCTTAAACAGGAAAGTCTAGAACAAAACCATTACTGGCTTCCTTTGGGGGAAATTCAACATCACCGGCTATTTAGCAAACAGTTTTATTTGTTCCAGGTGGTTAAAGACGGGATGTTTACATTGTAGGGTTGATTCCTGTCAACGATCGGGCAACTAGAAGTAGACTCAGCTTATTCGCTTCTGGTCGACAGAGTTTTATGAGGTGATTCCAATCACTCTATTCAACGATCATGTTTTTCCAAAAGACTAACGGCTGAACCAAAGATCGACCAAGGACTGAGTATTGCTTGCTCTCGCTGAACCCCTGCCAAAGAGTAAACCCAGAAATGGTAAAGAAATGTCCAAACTACCACAACCACCAAGTACTGTAAGGGGTGAAGAGTTACCTGGCTGAAGGTGCTCCTGAAAAAGAGCATTTGCTGGGTTGGTCAGACTGACCCCTGCAAAAAGTTTAAGTCACCAGGGTTGCTGAGCTGCTCAGTTGGGTGGCCAGAACCAGTTTTAAGAGTTTTGGGCCAGGAGTACAATGATGAAGAATTTGGCCACCATGCAGGGTCACTTATGGATTACTAGCGAGAAACTCATCCGAGCTCACGACAAAAACGAGTCCTCCTTCCAAAACCCAGCCCGCCTCGCAACCCTCCAAACTCCCTGAATGGACGGCTGGACAAGCCGAATTTCTATGGCTCTGATTGGGAACCACTTCAAAAGTAAAAGACCGCTATTCGGAAAGATTCAGGATTCGAACCCGGATTGAAACTCACCCACAAAATGGGAACCCCGTTTTTTTGTGCAGACCTTTCCATGGGCCCAAGCTGGTTGTACAGCCCCTGTTTCAGCTCCAAGCCAAGCTGCAGCGTGGAGTTGATGAAGCAGGTGTTACCTCAGCGCGCGCGGGTCACTTGGGAAAGCCCGGCTCAGCACACAAAAGGCAAAGGAGCGCTGAATTCAGTTACCACAGAGGGATGACAGAAACTCAAGCTTGGCAAAGAACATCCCATGGCCACCGAGGAATTTGGAGTTTCTATGCGGATGTCCTGCTCACTGAAGATTGCCACTGCCCAGCATGCCGGTACTCCGGGTGGTTAACAAGAGAAAGGGAAGTGACCAAGAGAAAGGGAACTGAACACCTAGCTAGGACTTCCTTACACTTTCCCGTGTAAGCACCACCGTGCCAAAAGGAAAAGCACTTCAAATGGCCCCAGTAGTGGCGGTTAACGGGAATGCTCCTAAAACCCTGGCGCAAACAAGAAACCTATTGTCTACGCTTGCGGTTTGATCATATGTTAGAGGTTCGGAGCAACACTGTTTAAAACCAAAAAAAAACAAAAAAACACTTGAATGGCCTACCCAGTTAGTAAGAAACCCAGGTAGCACGTTCCTTGGGTGACTCATTTACCAGCATTACAAACTTCGTAAATGGGATGGTCATCAAAAAATATCAGGATCACAAGCGGATGTTCAACAGCACTTCAACGGAAACATAGGCCTGCGTCATCCGCACGTTGGAGAAGTCAACCCTAGATTGTTTGGCAAGCCCTGACCGCACTCTGCAAACCAATTTACCCTCCTTCCAAAGCCCGTGCCCCAAACGGGGCCGCAAGCCGTCCAAAATAGCAGGGCCTTCTCAAAATTGGGAACCGCTCCATGCGGCTCGTGTCCTTTTGGCTTCCCATGAAACCGAACCAAAACGGGTCGATCGAGAAAAGCAAACACGCACCCCACGGCAAATCCCCCTCCAGAAAATGGCAGACCCTGACAAAGCCTGGTCTAAGGCTGTTGAACACTCAGGAAATGGGTTGGTTCTTGGGTGCCCTTTCTCGTGTGAAGCGATAGGAAGCCTTGGCCATCCGAGGCGCCCAAGTTCTGCAGGCCACAGGCCCCGGGCTGCAAGCACACGCCCCCCCGGCTCACGGACCGCGCCAGCAGCGGGCCTGGGTCCCCCTCGTGGGGCGCCTCCAGGCCTCTGGTGCGAGCGGCTGGATGGGGAGGTGGTCGGATTGTTCACCCCAGCCACACACACCCAGAGCTTCACATGCGACATGCAACCATTGTATGCAATGGGTATGGTCCAGTTTCCAGCACAAGATAGGGTGGTGGACAAGGATGGACAAGGATGGATGGGAGTGACTGGTGGTGGATGAGGATAGACGGGGGTTATTCTTTCGGGAGAGGTGCTGGTGTCAGAGGATGCTGGGGGCTATGATTTTGTTGGGGAGCCTGAGACGAGAGGAGTCTGAGTCTAACCGAGAACCAAAGGCCCATCCCCCAACCATCGTCAATGACTCAACTCATAAAAGTTCAGGTTTATGTGTGGGTGAACACATAAGGGTCATGATGGAAGTACAGGGCTCATCATGACCTCGTTGCGTCCTTTTGATCTCCATTAAGTTCCCCCTAATCAAGCCAACCGGGTTGCACTGCAGATGAAGGCACGGGCCTATCGGCAATTCTGTCTGCTGCATTGGAACTGCTGAACATGAAGATTCGCACGGAAGCCGTTTTTTTTGGTCAAAGAAAAGATCCTGCAGCTGAGCAGGTTATGAGCCCAAGTTCGAGGCGATGTTAGCTCGACGCCGCAATGGCAAAGGTCGAGGAGAAGGTGGCGCGGGAACCCCTGATGGGCAAGGACCGGAGCCGCTGCCGCTGATGGACGTGGGCCAGGCGGAGGACACTGGGGCCACGGAGGCGGAGAGTCAAGGGCAGGAAGCCCGAAGTGGAGAAAGAGGCCGGTCTGGGCCTGCGAATGGATCGCCGGAGGAAGCCCCCGGGCTCGAGCTCATCGGCCAGCATGGACGCGAGCAGGACCCCGGCGACAAAGGGAACGGAGGGCACGATGATGCCGAGGAGATTGTGGTCTACGGCAGCGGCTTCAGCGCAGAGAAATCCGTGGGCCGCAGCAGGCGAACGTGGAGGAGAAGGTCAAGATCCTGGGGAACAATCACAATGGGGAGGAGGACCGCAGGGTGACCCGGTGGTCTATGGGCCACTCTTCACGCCGGAGCAGCTGGAGTACCTGGAGAGGTGGGACAGGCCGGGCGGATTGGTGAATCTGGGTGGCCGGAAGGCTGCAGCAGAGCCGAGCCTGAAAAGGCCTGAGTTTCTGGAACTTGAAGATGGAGCACCTCGAGCGGGACAAGGAGAAGGCGCGCGACAAGTGCCACGGCCCGATCGGATGCAGGAGTACCTCATGATGGAGATCCAGAGGCTTCGGGCAGAGAATGATAAGCTCAGGAAGGGCAATCAGTCGGAGGAGACCTACGCGACACCGGACATGGAGGTGGAGAAGCGAGGTGCCGGACGAGCACTGGATCAGGGACAATGTGAAGGCAAACCTGCGGAACGAGGGCAAGGGCAAGCGGCGGAATCTTCGGAGGAGCTGATCAAGGAAGATCAACCTCAAGATGGAAATGCGCACCTGAACCTCATTCTGAAGCTCATGGAGGGCATGCAACAGATCCAGAAGAAGATCCTGGACAATGGTCATGGAGGCGATGAGGTGAACGCAGAGGTGGTGAAGTCGGCGGTGGATTTGCCGATGTTGCCGGAGCTGAGCGCAGACACCGGGCCGATCGACCTTCAGGACTGGCTCACCATGGTGGGTCCGGTGATGGCGGACCTTTCCGACACCAGTCAGGAGTGGTGGGAGTTGATGCTTAAGCACACGAAGAGCTGGTACGACAGGTACATGACGGAGCCCCCACTACAGCGGCTGTTGTTGACTCCGACGGCCCCTCTGGAGGTGAGTAACGGGAAATGGAGAAGGGTGGAGCGCCGCGCGGTGACGTTGCTCATGAAGGCCCTTCCGGACCAGGTCAAGGAGGAGCTGATCGCGACCAAGAGCCTGGAGGTGTTCTCCTTGGTGTGCCGGTTGATGCTGCTGTACCAACCAGGAGGAGTGGCGGAGAGGTCGTCGATCCTCAAGAACTTGGAACAGCCGCAGGAGGCGACGACCATTCAGGCGGCAGTTCAGGGGATCAGGAGATGGCTGAGGTGGAAGCGAAGAGCGGAAGAAATCGGGGTTTCCTTGCCAGACCCCTCGGTCCTGAGCAGAGGGTTGCACAGGCTTACCAAAAAGGTGCTGGAGAGCAACAAGGACCTGAGCTTCAAGATCAGCCTGGCCAGATCGACCCTGCAGGTGGACACCGTGCCCAACTACGGCACGATCAGCACTTACTGCGAGCACCTTCTGTCGGAGCTTGAGCAGTTGGTGCACACGGAGAAAAAGATGGTTAAGGCCCCGGACTACGACGCAAAGATCAAGAAGTTCGAGGGAGCCGGAACAGCATCGGGAGGCGGAGGTGGAAAAGGCTGGGATGGGCGGTCTCCTAAGAAAGAAGGAGATGTGCGAGAAAGGAAGCCCTGCCGGTACTATCTCACGGATGCTGGATGTCGACGAGGGCGACAGTGTACGTTCAGCCACGAGGCCAAGGACGAGAGAAACCGGTGCTACGAGTGTGGAGCGGTGGATCATTACCGCAAGGACTGTCCAAGGAAGCAGCAGGACAAGGAGGGTGGCAACCGGACCGAGAAGTCGCCTAGCAAGATCGCCAAGGTGACGGAGGTGGACGATGATGAGAGCGGTCATCAAGGAGAAGACCAAGCTGAGTCCTCGGGGGCGACATTGGCAACGTCGAAGGGGAACGCCAAGAACGCTAAGGACGCCAAGGAGGGAGACGGGCTGCAATCGGTGCTGGAAGAGGCCGGGAAGATGCTCCGATCTCTCAACATCAAGGCGGCCACTTCGACGGGGCGCGAGGACAGAGATGGGAGGCTCAACGACTTGCAGAAGCAGTTGGACCAGATGAAGAGGTTGAGAGCCTTGAGGTTCGTGAAGGTGTCGAAGATTGACTACCTGCCGGAGTATGGATTGCTGGACTCGGGGGCGACGCATGCCATGCGAGGAGTATGCGGATCGGATGATTGGCAGAGCCTTGAAGAGATCCAGGTCGAACTGGCGGGTGGGGAGAAGACGCTGCTGAGGATGACGGCGGGGAAGGTGATCGTTCATGAGGATGACAGAGTGCAGCCTATCGTTCCTCTCGGGATGTTAGTGGAGAAGCTGGGCTGCGAGGTGAGGTGGAACAAGAAAGGGGCTTGCCAATTGAGGCATCCGGTGATGGGGGAGATCCAGGTCCGGATGAACGCAGGATGCCCCGAGGTGGAGAAGAAGGTTGCGCTGGTTCTCATCAACGCCCTGGAGGAGTTGGAGATGAGGGAGAACGCGACGGTGAAAAGAATGAATGAGGAGAGCGTGGTGGTGAACCTGGCGAGAAACGAGGAGGTCTTCAAGGGCGTCCCGGTGGAGATCATGGAGAAGGTGGTGATTCAGCCTGCAAAGGATCTGAGCGGAATACCGCTGAATCGGTCCCGGAGGAGGAAGCTCTTGGATGGCTTTGTGCTGCACCTCTACGCGGGGGAGGATGACGGCTACACGTTGGGGAGAGCGCTCAAGGAGGTCGGCGGGGACAAGACTCGCTTGGTGGAGATTGACGTGAAGCGAGGACCTCGGCATGACATGATGGAGGACGACCTCTATGCCTCCTTGATGCACGCAGCAATGAGTGGCATGATCTTGGGAGTGGTTGGTGGGCCGAACTGCAGGACAAGAAGCGTGTTGAGGCACTACCCACTTCCGGCGGGCCGACCAAGGCCAGTGAGGAGCTCGGATCCGGAGCACTGGTTTGGGTTGCCGAATCTAGACCCGGAGGAGAGAACGCAGGTGTGGGAGGACGACGTGCTCCTGTACCGCATGGTGATGATCTTCTGTGCGGCGGAGGAAGGTCGGAAGAGATGTGCATCCTGCAGCTCTGAGAAGAAGCGGGTGGCTTTCCTTTTGGAGCAGCCGGAGGCCCCGGACTACGTGCCGGAGTGTGGTTCCTGGTGGAGGACAGACAGCTATCAAAGGCTGAGAGATGATCATGGGCTGGTGGAGTACCGGTTCAGGCAAGGTGACTATGGAGGAGCCGCGGTCAAGCCGACAATGGTGGCCACGAACCTACATCTGGAGATGCCGACGGCTAGATCCACGACGGCAAGAACAAGGAGTGAAGCGCCAGTGAAATCGTCAGCGGATTTGTCAAGGTGGGCCCCAGGCATGATGAGGGAGGTTGCCCGGGCGGTGCAGGAGGAGGTGTTCGGAAAGCCAGCGAGGAATTGCAAACTGAGTTGGCGGGAGCACCTATTGCACGGGCATACCCCCTTCAGGCGGGACTGCCGGGTCTGTCAGGAGGCGTCTGCTCGGGGAAGGAGGCATTGCAAAATTGCCTATCCGGAAGCAGCGGTGTTGAGCTTGGATCTCAGCGGTCCGTTCCGGCCGGGCAAGGACATCAACGATGCCACGGTGAGCTACTTTCTCATCGGAACGTACACTTGGCCCGTGGAGGAGGAGCCAGGGAAGCCGTTTCCGGAGGAGGAAGAAGACGAGAAAGTGAAGGAAGAGGACCTCCCGGTGATCGAGGAGGGCATCCAAGAAGAAGAAAGAGCGGAGGAGCCGGAACGTGGAGAACCAGATCTACGAGACGCCCGTGGTGAAGGGAGAGGAGATGAGGAGCTTGCAAGAGAGGAGTGTGGAGAGCCAAGGCCCCTCAAGGTTATTGTGAAGGTGATCCCGCTGCCAAACAAGAAGGCAAAGACGGTGCTGGAGGGTATCCAGGACATCTACATCCAGTTGAAGAGGCAGGGGTACCCTGTTCAACGGCTCCACACGGACCGCGGAAAGGAGTTCCTCAACCATGATCTTCGGAGCTGGTGTCTCGTGAGGGAGGTGGCGAAAACCACCACTAGCGCGGACTCCCCGCAAGAGAATGGAAGGGCAGAGGCCTGCATTGCTAGCTTGAAGAGCAAGGTGAGGAGGCTGCTACGAGGGGCCGAGATGGACGTGAAGTTCTGGCCCATGGCGGCGAGGTATGCGGTGGTGGCGGAAGAAAAGAGGACGAAGGGAGAAAAGATGGTGGCGGCGTTTGGGGAGGAGGTTTGGGTCCCGAAGAGGTCATGGAAGAAGTTGAGGGATCCATTCGGTCCAACTCATGAGAAGGCGCGCTACCTGGCGGAGGTCCCAGAGGTGACGAAGGGGCATGGAATCCTTCGGCAAGATGGCAAGGTGGAGGTGGTGTCCAAGGTGATCACTGGGGTAAGAGAGCCTCGAGATGAGGAGCAGGTGGATGCCATTGATGATCATCGAGTCAGGAGGAGGATCAGAGGGAAAAGAGCTGCAGAGGAAAGAGACGAAGACCGAAGGAGGCTGGAAGCACTCAGACAGGTCATCTATGAGGAGCAGCTAGCGGTGGAAAAGGATGAAGGAGAAGTGCTTGGAGTGACGGCCGTGAAGGTTCGGGAGTTGCAGAAGGAAGAGGAGAAGCTGATTGAGGAGCTTCCGGGCGCAGAAGAACGGCAAGTTCTCCAAACAAGGATGGTGGGACAAGCAGAAGTGATGAAGAATCGTGAGGAGTGGCTGCCGGCAATCAAGGCCGAGATGCAGTCGCTGCTGGAGGAGAAGAAGGCGGTGAGGATCGTGAGTCAAGGGGAAGCCAAGGCCATGATGGATGACCCCATGATCAAGGTGGAGGTGATGCCTGGAAAAATGGTGACCACCATCAAGGCGCCAGCAGGAAAGAAGAAGTGTCGGTTGGTGATCTGCGGAAACTATGCAGAGGGTGGCGGAAAGGAGCAGGAGGAGTCGCTTTACGCGGGCGGCTCAGACGCGATGTCAATCCGAACGGCAACGAAGTATGCCGCGGAGAGAGGATGGGCCGGCATGGTTTTGGACATCAAGACCGCTTTCCTCAACGCTCCTCTGCAGTCGGTGATGAAGGAGGGCCAGGGCACCAAGGTGGTTTTGATGAGGCCGCCAGCGATTTTGGTGCAGCTCGGCCTGTGTCGGCGAGATGAGTTCTGGGCGGTGGAGCGAGCTCTATATGGACTCAGAGAATCGCCAAAGCGGTGGGCCAATTTGAGGGATGAGCGCGTCCGTGACATGGAGTGGAGGAAAGAAGGAAGAGTCTTCTGGATGGATCAGTCGATTGCGGATCCTAACGTCTGGAAGGTTCTCTCGGAGATGGACACTGGTGAGGCTACGACGCGGAGCTCTTCTACGGCAAGATTGGGAGGAGCTGAGAAAGGCACGCGTCTTGAAGGTGTGGTCGTGGTCTATGTGGATGACATATTGGCATACGGAGAAGAAGGGCTGCTCGAGGACTTTGCCCGCGAGATAAGCGCAATGTGGGAGACGAGCCAGCCGGAGAAGATTGAGGAGGGAACCAAGGTCCGTTTTTGCGGAATGGAGATATCTAGAACCGCGAGAGGGTTCTACTTGGGGCAGCAGGCCTACATCCAGGAGGTCCTCAATAGGAACGGTGGTGGTGGTCATGGGTCTGCATTGCCGATCACCCGTGAGATGACGGAACTTCCGGAGGAGGAAAATATTCAAGCTGGGGATGTTCAGGCGGCGCAAAGGGCCGTGGGGGAGATCCTTTGGTTGACCACAAAGACGAGGCCAGACCTGATGTATGTCACGAGCAGAATGTCCTCGGCGGTGACCAAGGCGCCTAAGTGGGTGTTGCAGCTGGCGGCCCAGGTGTGGAAATACCTTCAGAAGACGAAGGAGGTTGGCCTGTGGCTGGAAGCAGAGGTGGGCACCGGTGAGTCTGGCCTGGAGGAGAGAAGAATTGAGGTCTTCACGGATGCCTCCTTCTCGCCGGGTGGCGGTCTGAGCCATGGATCTGTGGCGGTGCTGTGGAATGGTGGGGCTATCGCATGGAGAAGTTCGAGGCAGAGCTTTCCCACCATGAGCACGGCGGAGTCCGAGTTGGCGGAGTGTTTGGAGGGCATCGTGATGGGCGAAAGCGTGGAGGCGCTCGTGGCCGAGATTGAAGAGGCGGCCGGCAACCACTACGTGCGGCAGCTGCTGACGGACAGCTCATCGGCGATGGCAATAGCTTCGGAGGGAAGCGGGAGCTGGAGAACAAGGCACTTGAGAGTGAGAGCCTTCAATCTCAGATGGAGGTTGGAGGATCAGAGCTGGAGTATGCACCACGTCCCTGGTGTCCGTATGCTGGCCGACATGGGAACGAAGGCACTCAGCGGGAAAAGAATGGAAGAGCTGAGAGCGCTTTGGAAGCTGGAAGGGCTTGAGAAAAAGGAGACTGGGAACCAGAACCAGCTTGGAGATCAGGGAGGGGACTTCGTCCAGGAGGAGATGACCGTGGAGAACTCTCTGAACAAGATCAAGGCGAACCTCGCAAAGGAGCAGAAGAAGTGCGGGGGCCAGAAGGCGTTTGGTGAGGTGGAAGTGGCGACAGGAGTGGTCCGCGTGATCACCGTGGCCAGCCTTATATCCCAGGCGCAGGCAGTGAAGGAGAAGCTTGAGGAGAATGGAGATGAGGAGGATGAGTCGCTCAAGGCATTGATGGTCATGGTGAGCGTGCTGTCGATTGTCCTCTTCAAGCTGATGGAGATGATGTGTGAGAGAAAGGTGGCCCCGAGGGTGAGAGCCCTGAGAGGGATATGGGCGGACCCGACCCGAGGTGAAGACGATGATGCGTCTGGAAGTGAGCAAGAGCTGGCAAGAGATGCAAGGTCTTCGACGTCGGTTTCGAGACGGCCGAGACCTACTTCCGTGGCGTCTTCTGTGGTGGAGTCGGCTGGGAGTGGGAGAGGGTCAGACGGGTCTGGAACCGGAGGTACATCCTCGGTGGCAAGGCCAACGTCAAGATATGAGCCGGAGTTCGAAGAGGCGGAGACTTCGTGGGGAAGGACAACGACGGCAAGGACATCTACGTTCGGAACGAGCGCTACTACACGAAGGGGGGACCCTTCAACCAGGGGATCGTCATCGGCAGGATCAAGCGCGGCTATGCTTGGGGCGGTCCCAAAGAAGGGAGCGTCAAAGGGCCAGAAAGGGAAGGCAAAGCAGTGGGAAGGCACGACGCAAGCAGATGATCCTGACCCGGAGAGTGATGGGGAGAGTCTGCCGACGGAGCCGTCGATCTTCCATACCGGGCAAGGGGAGAGGTACCACTTCCGTCTGAATTGCTATGGATTGCGAGAAGGGCGAGGAACGCGAGAGAAGCTGCCATGCCCAAGGTGCGTTACCCCCGATGCCCGGAGACTGCTGACCACGCTCTATGGGGAGCTTCACATCGGAACGGAGCCCGGCCTCTATCACATGGTGAGGCGATGCGCCGGCGAGAGGTACTTCACTTTGACGACCTGCCGGTGCTGTATGACGGGGCGGACAATATGAGGATGCTGCGGTTAGGACGGCTTGAGCAGTAGTTTTTGGCAGGTGCAACCAATAGAGGAATGCACCTGGGAGGAGTGCTGAACATGAAGATTCGCACGGAAGCCGTTTTTTTTGGTCAAAGAAAAGATCCTGCAGCTGAGCAGGAACAATCCATTTACCCTCCAAAATCAAACATGGAACCTGACGAAACTGATCTTCCAGCTGTGATTTCCGAGAGATGCTATGTGCTTCTTGGCAGGGTATCCCTCCTTTCCCGTCCGTTGGAAAACTCTTTTCTGTGCCAGTAGGTGGGATCCCCACCATGACTTCCTTTCCACTTTACAGGGGATTCTCTTGGTACCTCACGAAAAGTGGCAGCCTAAAACAAGGCAGTTTTCCGCAACCGTGTCCCCAGCACTTGTCCCTGAAAGAGGAAAATGGTCTTAAAGCTGTGCCCTGTCGTGTTCATTTGTTTTGAGCGGTTGCTTCTCCGTTGGTGTGACTCGCACCACGTTTTGGGAGGAACCCAAGTCCCGCGTCGAGTCGAGTCGAGGAGTTTGGGGCCGGGCTCTTGGTCTCGTACTCCGCGAGTCGCTCAGACTCCATGGGGATCCACTCCCTCTGGGCCTTTCGGGAGGGCGACCCCACCTCGGATCGAACGCGCGAATTGGTGCGGAGGGTGGGATCCGAGCCGATTGTTGGGTGAAGTTTGGCGTAACTTGCCGGGCGCATTGTTGATTTATCCCGATTGCTTGCCCACTCAAAGAGACTCGAAGGAAACCGTGCAGAACCTAGTTGATCGACAAATCCATGGTCGATGAATGGGTCTTCACTTTTGGGCGAAGCGCCCCTCCAGTGAACAGAGAATATGCTATTCGGGGTCGACAGGGGTGAAAGTAGACGGAATAGCCTACCTTTCATGTTGGTCTTTAGCACTTTCTTTAGTGAATAGACATCTACTTGCACCCTGGTGTAGGGAAAGCCACCCTCTTTTAACTTCACGGGAACCAGGGATACATTCCCCAGGCGTGCCCACGGAAGCTTCCACCCCCTTTCGATAACTTCCGTTTACAGTGGCCTGGGAGCTTCCATGAAAACGCCTGAGGGCAAATGGGCAGCAACCCTCCCTGTGTGCTTTCTTCCTTTCAGACGCTCCCGGCTTCCCAGTGACCCCCGCTACAAAATAATGGAACCCTAGCGCAGACCTCGACATGTCCCGGAGACTCTGCAAAGAAGAACAGGGCGGCGCAACAACTTACATCTGGGACGGTCAATTCTAGCTGCTAGCCTCCATCTTCCTGGCTGTTGATTGCGGATAAGGTTGTCAGGGATACATTTGAACCCTTTGAATAGAACCATGTTCAAGAGGTGTGTTGTAAGTTCAGGCATCGAAGCGTGTAGCTGCTCACCCCACCAAGGTTGAAAGGCTGGAGGTTGCGATGCGAATACCGACTTCCGACCTTGGCACATGACCAGGATCCACAAAGCGCCGATGTCATTTGCAATATTTTGTGCCGCTTCGTACCAAGTGATGGCACATGCGGTCAGCTTGAGCTAACAACCACACAAACAAACATATGTACATACAGACAAGCAAGCAAGCCAGCAAGCACGCAAGCCAACAAATAGTGCTTTCCTGTGGAGCTCCCAACACTTTATGCCTTCGGTCAGAAACACCACCTGCTCTCTCAGAAGGGAATAAAGGCAATCTGAGTGTCTTGCCCAAATTAACAATTACATAATCCTATCAATGTTGTTTGCGCCCTAAAACTTTGATTGGCGGGGGCATATGTATTCTCCAACTCCCTGCAAAATGTAATTATTTTGCTGGGCTAGTGGGCAAACAATCCTTGCAATCCCCTTGCCCAAAGGCATGTTAGAACCTTTTGCAACGAAATGGTGTCTTCTTTCAGGTACCCTTTTTGGGCTGTTTTGGAAAACCAAAGGGAACACACATGATTCATGATCTTTAGGGTTCCCGTATTTAGGTGATAAGTTTGAGGGTTCAGGTAGAGCTTACGTTTGGTCAACATGAGCAGCCAGGTTCCAAGACAGCCAGTGGAGAAGGGCCAACGGGCCGAGCCACTGAATTCACCTGCTTGGTCTGAACTAAGATGGTCATCTCCTGAGAGGCACCAATGCCCTGCAAATCCACAACCAGTGGCTTGAAAAGCCAGATGAATGAGTTGCCGAGCCACACGGATATGACCCGCAAAAACAGTTCGCTTTTGGTGGTTGAAATAAATCTGAAGAGGCCAAGTCTGGTAATGGCTGGGCAGACCTTTGGCACTGTTTGTGGGGTCCCTGAAATCTCGGCTGCTGCTCCAGACCCCTTAGAGAGCCCCAGACCCCCCAGTGGCGAAAGGGAAGAAAAGGGACGCCCTGAAGTCTACAAATAATAAGAGTCCCCTTTCAAGGAATCAGCAACGAAGCTCTTCAACATGGGGCCCAAGGTTGCAAACCAACGCTTTTCTGCGGTGACTTCAGTTGCCCAAGCATTTGGCCAATTCCTTTAAGCCAACAATCTTAAAGCAACTGATGGCAAATGAAGTGGTTGGCACAGTGGAACTTGCCCGGACAAACAGCAAACGCCGAATCCAACTTTTCATAGCAACCACCCCAAACAAGGAAACACAACCGCCAACCAAGGAAACCCGACCTGGTTCCTTTCAGGTTTGACTGTGGTTGCACCCATATTAATTATTGGATTCTTTGGTGGACGTCTTTGGGATATTTGCGAGCACTCCCCCCAAATGGAAGTAACAAGCAACATTCGATCGCAATCCATTCGTCAATCCCCCCGACACCCAGGGACGCCAAGCAAAACGCAACACGGTGGCAGTCCGGCCGTGGGACCATGCTCCAATAAAAACCCTAAATGCCTTTGGGGGGGGGGAGTGGACCTCAAATGGAGAATCAAGCCCAAGGAGTCTCCCCAAGAGCCCAGGGAGCTCCCCAAAACCTGGGAAGCCAGGCACCTTCATGAGACCCGCAAACCCCGGATTGGCGCTACCCCATAGCTGTCGATGGGAACACCACTCGAGCAAGTGGAAGCGAGGCTCTGTCCAGTCGACTTCCATGACCTCTGCTTGCTTCCACTCCCGGCCAAAGCGAACATCCAGCCTCAGATGTGACACTGCCCCCTTTCAGCAGACAGGGGAAACATGGGGGAAGTCATGTAAGGAAGACTTTGAGGGCGACACATTTAAGACATGTTTGGAACTGTATTGAACCAAAAATGTGAGAAAACTGGGGGAGAAAGATTCTGGGAGACTACTCAAAATTCTGATTTAGAGCCATAGCAAGGAGAGCCTGCACGTTCATGGTCCTGAATGGACCTTACATTATGATCCCCAGCCACAAATAGTCAATATTAGGCTGCAATGGCTTCCCTTGCCATGGCTCTGAATCAATACATTATGAAAGCAAAGGACAATCATGCCGCATATTTGGACATGTGCACATGGATGCAAAAATCCTTTTACACAGCTGGCTGATCTCTGAAGAGAATGACGCAAAGTTACCCCTAGTTGTTTCAATAATGTATCCCTAGTTGTTTCAATAATGTCTTGAAACGTTCAGAGTTCAGAGGCTAGATTGGTCAAACCAAAACAGCAAACAAGAACATGTTTTGTCCAACTCCACACAAACACTGCTATTTTCATGAAAAGGTGGGTTTTAGATATTGGTCATAAAGGGCCAATTGAGCAAGCGACAAACAAATTATCTTCTAGAGGATCTTTATCGGCGATCCATTTGGGCAGGCCCGATTTTAGCGCTGGAGAACGTACTAGTCAGAGGAAGCCCTAAAGTAGACGATTTCCTGGTTGAACATACTGAAGTCAAAAGTGAACATTGTATAAGTTTGACATATTTGCAACACGCCAAGCAATATTGTTTTGCTTAAGCGTTCAACCTCGACCAAAAACATACATTTTGCTCTGGTCTGTGCCTAGTGAACCTCAACATGTAAGATCAATTCAACAAAGATCTCGGATTGAAGGACCCCCCTCCACACAACACAACGGAACAGAAAATCCATCACGCCCGACCCGAGCCGCTGGTCGTATCGCTGGAAATCCCGGAAGTCACGGGCATCCTGTCCGGAGAAGTCCGACAGGCCAAGTCAGCGTTGTGCTTTGAATTGCAAACAAATCCACGCCAGGCACATCCAGGCACCAATGGGTACTCCCGTCAAGAACGTGGCACTCAAAATACCCTCAGTTGTAGAGAAAGCTCCTCTGGGGCAAGCCAGGCAATAGGTGCTTTATCCCAGTTTCAAGGCTTCGTGTAAGATTTTGTCCGCACAGGAGACTTCCAGGCACCAGTGCCATTTATCGGTGGATGGGGCGCAACAACCCGTCTGAGTGACCCCTGCCTGTCCACGGTCATGTTCTGGACAAGTATTGGAAACTTAGGTCCCCATAGATGGACCATAGCGTCCTCTTTGGAGGTTTGTGAACTGAGGTTGTGAACCTCCTAGGTCAACTTCAAGCCACTATGGCCAGACCAGCAAACACAAAGTGCTGCTTGCCTGTCCAGGGTTGCTCCGAAGACCGTGGCAGGCTAGAAAGTCGACCGATGAAAGGAAGCCAAGGGAAATAGCAATTCTCTAGCCGGTTGGTGCGAGAAAGAGCAACTCCGCTTTTCCGGATATTCGCAGACCGAGGAGCCTTCGTCATGGGGCCCGAGCTCGTTTCAGGCATTAAAGTGGTCTACGCAAAATCTACAGAATCAAGAGGGCACCTTTCTGTAGCTGTCTGGTTTGGACTGAACCCTTCACTTCCCCGGATCGATTTCCGCTGCACCCGTCCGAACGCCTGGTAGCCAGGCACCGTTTTACTTCTGTACTGCGCCAGGCGGTTGGAATCTCGATCCATCCACTCGCGGCCTGCCAGAAAACCGAAGCGCAGCTCCAAGACTTTCTGACATGTGCCAAGAACCACGAAGCCAGAGTCGGGCATCGGCACTTTGCTTTGAATGAGAAAGCTGCCCTCATGCAGTACCCAATCTACCGGACCTTTAAACACACTTTAACACATGCGGTATGTCATCGCCTAGTTGTGCAATGCTGCCTCAGAATCACCAACCTCGCCTGCTCGATCCAAACATTTGGGCAATTTGGGCTAATCCGCTCTGCCACCCGCCCCGCCAAAAAGAAAACATCCAAAGTCAGCCATGGCCCTTCCCTCTAAAGCCAAGCGAACATAAACAGCAATGAATCAACGCAAGATCTGGGCTGGAGCTAACTCCGGGCTACTGAACACCAGCAACAAATCGCGTGCCGCAATGAGGCGAGCGGAAGCACCCCGGAAGGGGCAAAGCTGGCTTTGGAAACCTTCACAAATCAACTGTGGGGACCTCTGATTCTTTTGGGGGCCTGTATGTTGGAAGCCTTCCATTTGCTCTGGACAAAATGGCTGTTGTCCCCCGAGGACATGGGACACTTGGGGTTGTCCCTTGTAAGTCTTGCGAGAATTAAAACCCCTCCCCCCTTTCCCGTTCTCCCCAGTCAGTAGACTGCCAATCATACTTGTCTGTGACTATTCAAAAGCAATAATCAAAGTGTTCGACAAATCCGAGAAATGTCAGCAAGACAAGAAGCAACAATTGACACTATGAGTCAAAACATGGTCCGCACAGTGAACAATCCTCATTTCGTTTCCATGGAATAGGGTGCTTTCCCCAACAAAATCAGGAGAAACGCCTTGTTTTAGCGGTTGTTTTTTTGCTTCGTTTGAATGGACTCCCTGGATTTGTCGTGGTCCTCCTCGTTAAAGCCTGGATGCTGAAACTACCCAAAACCACTCCTCTGGAGGTCTGAGATGCGGTTGACCCAAAGGCCTTGTCAGAAGGTAGAATTTTGGTGCCTGGAAAAGAGGCATCAAAGGAAACGTTCACCAGGTTTCCACTTCTGGCTTGGAGCTTGGACATCTTTTAGAAACAGGCGCAAACCTGCGTTCGAATGAAACGGCCTTGCTGCAGCAACTGCTCCTCCTCACTACGCATCTCCACCTGTTGAACTCGATTCAGTCGAGAAGCCAATTGAGTCGAGTCGTCCGCCCGGCCGAAAAGGGAACCAGCAACAAATGGGGGATGCGATTCTGGAACCGCCAACTGTTGGGTTCCCTGGTCCCTTGAGCAAACAGCCATGGCATAAATGTTGTCAGCAGAAAATACGGTTGCACAGAAACCAACTAAATCACTACCTGCAATAGGTCTATTTGTGTTTGGAAGGCTCAATCATATTCCTTACTGAGAAAAAACAAAAGCAAGCGCACCACGCTGTGGGCAGCACCGATATGGGTCGATCTTCCGATGGGGCACCTCTAAAGACGGTACCATCAAAAACCCATAGGTACCAACTGTTTGGCCGATTGCATTAGATAAGCAAGGACCTAAAGTCTACTGGATTCCTCGACGGACCCCTCTGGTGGGTTCTATGTGAGTGGGGGGCAAGGGGAAGGGGTAGTCATTTTGTTTGGCCATTCAACTCAAGCTGCTTTCCAGGATTTTGAACTCTTGAATAAAGTTCCGCAGGAAACCATAGCCGAAAAGGCGCAAGACGATCTCATTGCAAACAAACAATACGCGGAGTTCTATGATTGTGAACGGAAACTGGCCTGCTGGATTTACCCCAAGTCACTGGAGGACACCAAGTCGTCCAAAAAAGCAGCAAGTACGCACCTCTTGGGAGGATAGCTTTAAGATCAACCCTGTCAGGTGCCATGTGGAGAGAGGAGAAACAAATGGACTCGACCTAATTTAGTTTCTAGGGCAAACTAGGACTCCACTTTTCCTGCGGGAGTCCTTCTTTCCAAAAAGCCACCAAAACTGGGGGAAAGCGGCCGCCCGACTTTTGAAAAGAACTTATACAAGTAACAAATGCTGAAAAGAGCTAAGCACCAACCTCTAGACTTTTGCTTCCTGCGAATTCCCAAAATAAGGAACAAGAGGGTCACGTAAACATTTTGAGGGCTCAAACTCTTGGACCAATCAATTCCCCGGTCAAAGAACGTTTTGACCTTGCGCCACAAGTAAACAGGAGATCAAGCAAACATTTTGACCCTGGTTGGCCATGATGTCACCTTTAAGATGAACACGAACGAACGGCAACAGTTTCCGGGCAAGGCCTTAGCCAAGGCGACCGTGCCAACATTGGAACCAAGAAGTGAGAAGAAGCTTCCCGGGAAGGAGCTTCTCACCCCAAGACCTCCAGTGGCCCTTGGCAACGCCCTTTGGGGAACTAGGCCTACACAAAAGTTGAAAAAAGGACACGGCGCATAAGTCTGGGACCTTTATTTTGAGCTTCATCCAAATCCAACCAGTCGCGAGAGGCAAAGCCCTCATGGTGGCAGAAAATCAGCCATCGGTGATACCAAAGCCGGTCTCCCATCCCCATGACAACACCTTATTGTGGAATCCGTTGCAAACTATCCAACATCATACCCTTTGTTTACCATTTCTGTGATCTCCAAATTGCGTTTGAAAAGCCCGCTAAACGTGTTCCTTGAGCCAATATTCCACCAAGGGCACGGCTCCGCCCCCGGCTCGCTCGTTGCCGGCCTTGGCGCGCTCGAAGAGCCGCGACAGATCTTGCTGCAGCCAGTAGCCCTTGCCCCCGGAGGCCGCCTCAGCCCGGCGCCCGGCGCCCGCAAGGCGGCGCAAGTCTTGGACTACGAAATAGAAAAGGCGGGTGTTTCTTTGTTCACGTTATTCCATACTTGCAATAAAGGTTAACTTAGAGATGCTGCCTTCTGCAAGCGGCGGGCTGGAAAGCAGCTGTCACTGAGTGACACACGCCTTTGTCTTAAGAGAACACTTCGGATACCGTTATTTCATACTGTTTTAACACACGTCTATACACAGGGCTCCCTCTATTTTGCCCCTTGGACATCACCCCACTTCAAAGAAACTCATGTAAGCAAAACATGGCCTGAAAGGCAATGCTTTAAGCAGAAGTCCTGGTCTATGGTGGATCCACGCATGGCTGGGTTAAGTGGTCGGGCCACCTTCTTCTAAGGGGTTGTGGGTTTGCCCAGGGTTCAGACTGTTCAATCGACCTCCAGGGTCCCAGCGATCTGCTGCCGCCAGTACTCCAAGAAGCCCTCAAGTGGCATGCCTGGATCTCCAGTCGTTGAGAGAATTTTTGAATTTTCGCCCCACCCACCCCCACCCCAAAGTAGAAATGTGTGTCAGCGTGTGGGTGGTCCCGGGGTCGCAAGCTGACACCTTTGCGAGGCCTGCTTTTATGCGCTTAGAACCATCCATTGGTTGATGTGTGTGTGTGTGCTTTTTGAGGGTACCCTCAGCCAACGATATATAATAGTTTTGATTCTGCCTCGTATTCTCAAATGCAAAATAATGTCAAAGGAGATTGCAGTTGCCCTGGGTGTCTTTTAAGGAAAATACGCGGATTCTTCTGCTAGAGGATGTGAACCAAATCGAAACCTATGGGATCCATTTATGTTCAACCCAGCTGAAAGCAGAAAGGTGTCTTGTTAACCATCAGGGCCTAAACCATTTGAATGGGGTTGTGCGGTAGTTCCAATCCAAATCAAGTCATGATCACAAGGCAAAAGGTGTGAAATTTGTTTGCCCCTCATTTTATCCCTCATTCATCCCCTCTGTCAAGGACTATGGTTCAGGCGGAGAAACCTCGCAGCAAACAACAATTACGAGGGAAGGCAGCTGAAACGAAACTATCAAGCAAGATCTGTGATGTACGCACGTTGCGCGTTTCACACAAGACACCTGCACAGCACGACAACTGCACAAGAGCGAGAACAAACATTGAGCAACTTGTGCAATTTTACAAGTACATATTCGAATGTCATGTGTGTGTGTGCGCTTTGATGCTCGCAAGACAACAAACACACATACGCACACCCTTCCTCAAGCATCGCTGAGCCTGGTGGCAATCCAATGTAGATGCCAAGTGAGGGTAAGTTGCTGGCCTGAGAGCTCCTGTTCGGTCAGTGCACACTTCCTGCTACTTCCCGGGTTCTAAGATGGCTTTCACTCAAGGGTATAGCAATGATATATACTGGCGGTATATCTCATCTTGGATTGTCGTCGTCACAGAAACAAGTTGATGCCGGTCAATTCGATCATGACAGACCAAGCATTGGGGCCCTTGACCCAACCCATAAACTACCTCAGCTTGACTGGCATGCTTGTATTGATTACGGTCCATATTTAGTGAACATACAAATGTAGGATAAATTGAAAAGAGATCCCAGTAGAGATGCGCAACGGCAAGAAAGAAGCAACCCTCCGGACGCATGCCCTTCGCATTGCCTCACGTCCTCCCCCCACCTTGACCCCACCCACCCAGCTCCCGGCCAGAAAAATGCGCCTTCAGGGGTGCCGAAGGGCTCCTTAAGAAGAGCTGCGATCTTGGGCGAGTCCTGGATATACGTTGGCAAGAAAGGAAGACATCTGCACGAATCACTCTTCACCCGCAAGATATCCAAGCTTTTGCCGAACTGACTGTTGAGTTGACTGGGCCAGGAAAAGTTGAAGCTTTTCAGCGCTTGACTGGAACATGATAAAGACACCGGACAACAACAAGCTTCAAGTTTGCTAATTCAACGGACAAGCTAAAGTCGAGGCCAGGAGTACCTTGGCCGAGTCTTAAAGGAAGCCTCCGAAGCCCCAAACAAGTCGGCTACTTTTCTAAAGGCAAGGTGAGCCTCATCAAATCATGCTGCAAGGCATGTTCTTTAAAGCTGACCTTTCGAGAAACCGGCTGATCAACCGGCCCTAAGCTCCTTTGAATCGCGGAGGCACAAATAGGAAAGAAGGAATCATGTGGGGGGTTCTTAAAATGGCGTCCCCGTTTTGTTGGTAGTTACAGGGCACCAACATGAAACCACACATTTTTTGGGGGGTGCCCTGCCTATTTGAGACAAGCCCGCATGGTTGTCAATGGCCCCCCAAAAGGGGACCCCCCAAGCCCAATGGTGAAAAGTGAGTGATAGGGCCTGAAGCATCTGCAAACCGTTTACAATATTTCCAAGACGTGAAATAAGGGATCCCCGAGTAGGCGACCAACATCATGATAAGCAGGTCCCCTTCTTTGGTTCGTTTAAAACTGGAAACCAAAGGAAAACCACATGGCCTGGGGCAGTTCCCTTAGTTGAAGACGAACCAAGTTGAGTCAGAAGCAAGACGTGATATTCATGGTGTCTGCCGGAAACCCATGGCTAAGAACCGTGTGGAATATGGGAAGCCCATGCTTTGGGGTGCCCGGCTTTCTAGAAACATCCGAACGATCATGGGAAAGCAAGAGGGGGTGTGCTCCTTGCTTTGCTGCCCTGGCGCATACTGAAACCGCCCGAACGCTTCACACATGTTTGCCAAACCTCGCCAAAACTCCAGGGCCCGCTCGCTTTTTTCCACGCAACGAGATCAAATCGGTCGTTGCACAAATTCAAGGAACTGTACTCAGCTTAGCCCATTCAGGCGAGAAATGTGTCTTTGGTCCGAAGCCGGAAGGTGGCTGCGTAATCATTGAGAAACCGCATCCCGGCTCTGCAGATTGAAGTGACTACGCAAGGCATGACACGGCCGAGCGATGAATAGCGGTTGATAGCCTGCCACTTAGCTGCATGACAAGCAGTCCTGAATCCCATGAGGTCTGTCAAACTAAGCACTGATAGAGAGGAGCCATCTAGGCATATGATTACGTCTCAGAAACCTGAAATAACAAATCCTCCGGTACGGAACCTTCATACCGACAATCATGGGGTACGAGCTTCTTGGGTTGACTGTCCAAAGAAACTGTTTGGCGCCATGACTACATTATGAAGACAGGGCAACATAACTTGGCCAGTCTATGGCAATCGCATACATGGCGGCCAAGCTTTGACTACCTTTTCCGTTAGCATCCTCCCGGCATGCCGTTCCCATACGCGCATCAACCAGATGTGTTATCTGGTGATCCAGACACCCAGCAGCTCTTGTACAGAGTTACTTGCACATTTGGTCTACGCAGGAAATTGCCATGAACCCCTTTCAAAAGACAACCTACATGTGTTCTTAATCCACACATCATCTACGAGGCGACGCATGTCCGCCCTCCATGTTCGAGGGTGTTCCCTTTCCAACAATAATAGCCAGATGTTTAAACATGATTGGGTACAAGGATTGTCCAACCCCTTATCCTGAACAGTGACCCCTTGTACCCTCCAAGGGCCATTGCGAAAGAATATCCATGCCCCAACCCTATCAGAACATCGAGCACCAGATCTTGAGGCTTGTGTCCCCACTCTCTTTAAGGGGCACAGAGTCACATTGAAGTCTTTATCGCTAACCATGCCTACATCAAGTCAGCGCTGAAAGGTCAAGGCCTTTCGAAGTCCGGCAACGCACCATGAGTTCTTGTCTCGGTGGCAAAGCCTTGTCAGGAAACTCTTTGTCCATCCCTTCCCAGCTTCCTTCAACAAATTAAACACATTGCGTTCAGGGTTCCTCACTGACAGGAGCACCTAAAGACGCAACTCATGAACACAGAATTTACCAACTTCTCCTTTAGGGTCCTGACCTTTCTAAAGATTGCAACAAGCATCCCGGCAAAAACAGGAAAGCCCCAGAAGGCATCCAGTCTCAATGAAACCTTGTGCGTGTTCTATGGTACAATGCAGGGTGATGTAGTGCCCAGTCCGAAATCGGCAATGTTTGATTCTTCCAAGGGCCCTCAAAATGGCTGCCCTCTTTCTAAAATCTCAATGAGCCATCCAATAAGTGGTATCTCACACGGAGCAAGCCGCTGGTTGCTTCCCTCGGGCAGCCTTCGATGGCACAATCGAGGCCACCAAAAACCGAGGTGCGCGATCGTTTGTTGGCGTGGCAAGCGGCTGAGGACAGTGGGGAAAGCAAAAGGAGCTGGCGCCAAGAGCAGATACAACATGAGCGTGTCTCAAGGGGAACCTCCCCAAAGGGGCTCTAGTTTTCCCTTGGCTTTTGCTCCAAACAACACCACAAATTGTACAATCAAGACAAAACACACATCGTATCACACCATTCAATCCAACAAGTGCCCCCCCCTTCTAAAGACAACTCGTGTTCAATTGGGATCGGCATGTTGTTCTCCTTGTTTCCAGGCCCCAAACGGATTGGCTTAACCCACACTCCTGGAAAGCCCCCCCCACGCCGCCGGCCGCCGGCTGGCTGCGCGCTCAGAAGGTGCCCCCGGTGCCGGAGGTCTCCGGCGCCAACGGCGTCGCCTCCGCCTCAAAGCGCTCGAAGCCGAAGCCCAGCTTCCTGAGCTACGCCACGACCAAATCGGGCCGATGCAGGAAGACGTGGAACGAAGTGTCTCCAAACTTGGAACGAAATGGCTGGATAAATTTGATAAACTGAGGCCCCCAACAGCCCTGCAACCGTCCAACCCTCCCAGAACGTGCCCCAGGGCCAGCCCCAACCAAGGACTGGCTTGAGACCCCGCGATCGCTGTTCGGAAAAAGCAAATCGCTGGTTTCTTTTGGAAATGACACCAAACGAATATCTCAAAAACCCGAAGAAAGGCATACCAAGGCAAAAGGGAGACTGCTTCAGGGAGTACTTGGAGACGCGTGGGTGTGCCTCAAATTGTGTTTGCGGGAAGTTCCCATGGAACAAACTCTAAAACATATTAATGTGTACTTAGGATTAGTGAAGACTGGAATTAGTTCAGGCCCAAATCACCCCGCCTCAAAAAGCAACAACTAAACAATTTGAAAAGCTGAAATCCATTCAAAGAAGCGTAGCATTTTCAAAGAACCACACTTTTTAGACTGGACCCCACGGAAAACAAACAAATGCTCAATCTCAATGAGCATCTCATCAAATTATGGAGTCTCCGTGGAATCATCATTCCCAATTCAATAGTATTGCCCAAGACTGAAGTAGTATTGCCAAATTCTAAAGCAGCGTTGCCCAATACTAAAATAGTATTGCCCAAGACTAAAGTGGTATTGCCCAAGACTAAAGTGGCATTGCCCGATACTGCTGTAGACAACCCGGATTATTTTAGTCACCTTCTCGACCTCCTCAGGAAAGGCTATTATTTCGATGTCAACATGACCATTAACGAAAACAACGCGGGCAATATGTTCAATGTGTGTTGGAAAATAGATCTGTACTATGTCAATGAAGACACCATGCACATAATATGTAATCTATACACACACCGTTGTAATATATATATATATGTACGTAGATCGATATAGCATGAGACACATCAATACGGATCATACAGGTGCTCCATGGAAAATAGCTAGGGGTTGATCTCATACATTCATCCTAACACCCGTTCTAACAGCAGCTACTGGGGAGACACTTGAGCGAACCCCGACGGTCCAAAGCAGCAGAGACGACATGCCCGGACAGACATAGAATCGCAACTTCCCCGCCTCCCCCAATTGCCGGATACTTGCTGGGCCTTTGCGGGGCCTTGTTGAGGTGCTTTTTGTGTGGGAACCAGGGCGGACCTTCTAGGTTGACTGGCCAGACAAAGCTGTATTTTGTCTTGCGCTTGACTAAAAAAGGAAGATATCGGCCTACTTACTTTTGATTGTAAGTTCGTTGATTCAACAGGTATGACCCTCAGAAGGTCAAAAAGTAACCGAAGGAAGAACAACTTTCAAAGTGAAACAATCCAATTTCGTGACATGCGCCAAGCTGGTACTGACCCGTGTTTGTTTCATCATGCCAACAACATACGACAGCTTGCAGTATGTTTACTTTTTGCATTTGTTCGGGTCCAAGGTGCGCTCTTGAGCGGGTACCAATATCATTTGGCGGGCATGCGGACTGCGAGCGTGCTCTTGAGCGCGTGTGCTTATCACTTGTCAGGCGTGTGTGCAGACCTGAGCGTATGCTCTTAAGCGGGTGTGCTTAGCTAAGCGTCTTGAGCGTGCGCGCTTATCAAGTGACATGTGTGCAGTGCTGAGCATGTGCGCTTGGGCGCACGCGAGCGCCCCACAAAAACCATGCGGGTCAGTACCAGTCCGGTACCTTTTAGTGACAGGGACAGAGTGGCTTGAAAATGAGATCCGACATCCAAGTCGCCATGCGCGCGGCTTCACTGGTTTGGGGAAGTCTTCCTTCGTCTTGGCCTCAACCTCCTCGATCTCCTTGCCCTGCTCATCAGTTTGGAGACTCCCCCCAAACGGGCACCTTTCGTTGGTTGGTTCTAAACAGAAACCCCCTCCAAAAAAGAAAGAAGAGCAGCAGGTACTTGGCTGTGATGCGTCTCTCCAAACTTTGTCTATAAAGGATGTGGCTAATCGCCCAGCCTCACCGTCGCCTTCCTTGACTTCGTCCGAGGAGGGGTAGAGGTACCTTGCGCGGCAACAAAGGCAAAGCATTGCAGTTGGTCACCCCCGTTTCGTGAAATTGAAGAAATCTGCTGCTTGAAATCCTC